TTTTTTATTTATTGTTACAAAATAAGGTAAACAGTTTAAACAGTCCGTAAGATGCCACATAAACTCATTAGAGTTTTTGCCGTGCATCAGTGTCATCACCAATATATATTTAGTTAATTATTAGCTTCGTAAATAACCCTTTTTTTTGTAATATGTAAAAGATAAAAATGGTTACTGTGGGTTATCCTCAGGAGGGTGGACCCAGCGTCGCGACAAGACGGCTGTACACGGGGGTTGTCCGGTCAATGGCACTGTACGGTGCACCGGTGTGGGCGGCGGCTCTGACCGCCCAGAATAGGGTACGCCTCTGGCGCCCTCAGAGGGTAATGGCGGTCAGAGCCATACGCGGTTACCGCACCGTTTCGACGGAGGTGGCATGCGCATTGGCCGGAACTCCCCCGTGGGATTTGGAGGCGGAAGTGCTCGCCGAAGTTTATCGGCGAGTGGCTGACTTCCGGGCGGAGAGCGGATTTCGCCCTCCGCCCGAGGATGTGCGCGAGTGGCGCGAAGCCGCTCGCCGAGCCACGATGGCTCGTTGGTCGTTCCGGCTGGAGACTCCACGCGCTGGCTTCGCCGCCGTGGAGGCTCTCCAGCCGGTCATCGCCGAGTGGGCAGGGCGGCAGCACGGGACCCTTTCCTTCCGACTGACGCAGGTGCTTTCCGGGCACGGTTGCTTCGGAAGGTACCTGCACACGGTCGCTAGGAGGGAACTGAGTCCCGCCTGCCACCACTGCGACTGCAGTGAGGACTCGGCCCAGCACACGCTGGCGGTCTGCCCCGCATGGGCGGCGCAGCGCCGGGCCCTCACTGCAGTCATCGGAGTGGATCTCTCGCTACCGGCCGTAGTACGCTCCATGGCCGGTAGCGACAGTTGTTTTACCGCGGTCGCAACCTTCTGCGAGGTAGTAATCTCGCGGAAGGAGGCGGCGGAGAGGGCCCGGGAGGACGACCTCCACTCGGACCCGATCCGCCGCCGGCGAACCGGGCGACGGAGGCCCGCCTACCACAGCCTCATGCCGCCCTGAGTGTGGCCGCGGGTGGACGGGGTGGGTTTCCCCTCCACCCGCATTAGTTTGGCCAGCCGCGAGGGGGCGGCGTCCGCGTGTGCCGGACGTCGCCTAAAGAGAGGAAAACAACAATATTGAGACGGAGCCCGCACCAGGAGCGGGCTGGCGCTAGGAGGGGTCCGGATGTCTTAACAACAGCTGTTCCCGGATCCCTCCTGTTACAGGCGCAGAGTGGCACACCGTGTGGTTTTAGTCGGTCCGAGTCCGACACACCACCCCGCCGCAAACCCCGGAGGGGTGACGGTCCGAGGGGATTTCCACACGTAAAAAAAAAAAAAAAAAGGGTTATCCTCAGGAGATAGACATATACCATCGCCGACTTTTTTTCAGACCTTTTTAAGATGTACAATTCCGTAGTACATTATTTTGGTCTATCTAGTAAAGTTTAGACAGCGTTTGCAATGTAAGCGCACAAAAACATGTTTTTTACGAAAAAAACTTTAAATTTCTCGGATTTTCTCTACTATATGCATGTATTATCCGTCCTCTTGCATCATTTTCCCTATTGTTGAAAACCGCATTAAAATCCGTTGCTTAGTTTAAAATTTCTAAGCATACAACAAGTAAAAGCTACTTTATTTTATAATATATAAAGATAAGTTTTATATTAACTAAACAATATGAGGATAAAGCATTGGAGAACTAAATCGAAGGATTTGGCCTAGTTGTCTAAAACCGGTGGGCCGTGGCCACTTTCTTGACGGCGAGGGGCAGTTCGATCGTGGACATCTCGTTCACGTGCCGCCCGCTAGCGCGTCGTGTCCAGAGCTGGCGCGTAGTATCCAGGGCTGGCGCGTCGTTGTGGGGGGTGGAGACGGGCTCGGATCCTCGATATATTCGGTTTGACGTCTCCGCCACTACGAGTGACGCGCCGGTCAGTCCGGCTCCACTTGAGCCACGTTGGGCGCTCAAGCGGAGTATCAAAGCTGAGAGAGATCTTGGTTATTTTTAAATTCGCAGTCTCCATCTTCAAATTATTTCTGGCTCTACCACAGCTCTACATTAAATATTTGTCCTCCGAATAGTTGTACGTTGTTTTATAGATAATAATTTTATAAAATTTCGTTTCGCAGAAAACTTTTGCCATATTATCATTCAGGTGAAGCTTTAAGCGGAATACAGGGTTGTCAAGAGTGAGGCCCTCCGTGAGTTACTTGAGACAACAACAACACTGCCCTGGGACCCTTTGGCATTCGAGGCCAAGCGTGGGTCCTGGGGCTAGATTTATGAAAAACGGGGAAACTGATCCTCATCATGAGCCGTTTCTTGACGAGATTTGAAACTCTTCAAAAGAGTTATTTCAAGGCACCTCGTCAAGCACCTCTTCAGGGTAGAGCCAGATCTGGCGGATAACATGTAAAGTTTGGCACACGCGCTTTACCGTGGCTGCGATCATGAGCGTGAAGGCTCTAGCGGAGGAAGCAGTTTCCCGGGGTATTGGCGGTTTCCTTAGACATGACGGCCACGATTGTCCAAGTCGTGGAGCAAATCCGGCAGCTGGGTCTGTACAGGTAGGGTAGTTAGTTAGTTAGTCTGTAGTTCTGTACAAACCCGAGACCTTGTTCTTTCATGGGCCTCAAAAGGAGCCACCTGGGCAACCAAGCGCCGGGCACGCCGTAAGACCCGTTAAGGGAAGATTGGCACGAGAGGCATCACGGAACCCTCTCATAACGGCTGACGCAGGTTATCACCGAAATGATGCTTCACTTGTGTCTTATCCGCAAGGAGCCAACGAGTGTCAGCACTGCAATGGCCGGAACATGGATACGGCGCTCCTACAGCAAGCAGAGTGCCCGGCGTGGGATGAACAGAGGCGTGACCTCGTGGCAGCCATCGGAGTGGGAATTCTCTCGCCTAGTACCTTGATGGCGGCCATGGTACGGAGCGAGAGCGCGAGCATCTACAAGCCTTAGATTTCCTGGGGTCTGTCGGAATAGGGTTTTCATTCCTAGGGAACCGGTCCTCAGTTGAGTCCAACATAGCCACCGGTGGGTGGTATCCGAGGGGATTTAAGCACCGGAAAAAAAAAGTTAATTTGTTAATAATAATAAAAACGAGACATAAAATTTTATTTGTAACAAAATTTATGATTTAATAAAAAATATAAGTATTCTGGCTATTGGTTATTCTATTAAGTGAATGATAATATGGCAAAAGTTTTCTGCGAAACGAAATTTTATAAAATTATTATCTATAAAACAACGTACAACTATTCGGAGGACAAATATTTAATGTAGAGCTGTGGTAGAGCCAGAAATAATTTGAAGATGGAGACCGCGAATTAAAAAATAACCAAGATCTCTCTCAGCTTTGATACTCGGGTTTTTTCAACGGCCCTAAAACCAAAATAAATGTACCGACAGGTTGGTTTAAGAAAATGGTTCATCTAATAATCTTGAGAACTAGCTTGCACAATATTTAGCTCCTTTGCGTAATCAAGACATCAATAAAAAGCGATGTTATGATAACGCATGAGAAGTTGTTTTGTTAGTTCGTAAGCAAATGATAAATCTACATCCTCGATCATATACATGGTAATGGATAACACCTTAACACTACACACTTCTCTCAGCGATGCTCCCATCTCTGTAACCCGTCCAAATAGTACTCGGCGTTTTACTCTGCAAAAGAATTGTTCACGAAGGTGATTGCCTCTTCATTTGACGAAAATCTCTGTCCTCCGAGCGCATTTTAGATGAGGGAAAAAGAAGAAGTCGCTTGGGGCTAGATCTGGTGAGTAAGGCGGATGGTCAAGCAGTTCAAACCGTAATTCGTGGATTTTCGTTTCGTGCGTTGTCATGGTAAAACTATCTTTTCCTTTTTCTGCAAATGTGGGTGTTTTTTCGCAAGTTCTGCCTTTAGCTTGTCATGTAATGATGCGTAGTATGCTCCTGTAATGGTTTTTCATTTTTAGAGATAATCGATTAAAATAACTCCATGACTATCCCAAAAAACAGTCGCCATCACATTCCCAGCAGAAAAAACAGTTTTTGCCTTTTATGGAGCCGGTACCCCTTATCCAGTCCACTGTTTAGACTGTATTTTTATTTCGGGCGTATAATGGTGTATCCAAGTATCGATGTTTTCGTCGGTAGTTGCAGTTTTTAGACATCGCCAAAGTTCATCGTCTCCCAAGCTCTTACGGCCACGTTTATATTTAGCTGCCCAAAATTTCACTGTGGTAAATAATGGGGCAGAGTGCCCCTACACAGAATCCAACTCATCTTTGATTTGCTTAGGCGTGTTGCCTTTCAGAAACAAATATTTAATGATATCTCGATACTCGATTTTGTCCATTTTCATAAAAACACTCTCATCAACTCACTCAAACGACTGTTACGTATTAAAACAACTGCGCGTCCAAAATGGAAACTTTAGCGAGTAACTGTCAACAGATGAACAATGAAATTCACTAGCTTTTATTCACTAGTGCTGCCATCTTCGTGTTGAGGTCAGACTTTTCAGACCACCCTTGTAGTATTAAATTATTCAAGTGCCGCTTGTATTTATAGTGCTTTATCTATGTTGTCATAACTAAATTAAAATTTATCTAAAACTATCTTATTTTAGTGAGGTGATTTCTAAAATGATGAGAATGATAAATCTTTTATATCACTCAGGAGCTACACAACTCTACCCACACTACTACTACTACCACACTATTTACATTTGTTACATTTATGTAATCGTTTTGTAATTTTACCACCTATGCAACTAATCCAACATATAATAATAAACTCCCAATTCAAAATTTAATATCGGAATCGATTGAAAGAAGTTAGTTGTAGCACTTGTAACCTCTAATGTATGTGTGATATGAAACGTCAATGACGTTATTAGAAATGTGTATGATAAAAATGGTTGCCGTTTACCAGCTGGCATCTAGTCTTTATTGGTAAAGAATTGACATTGTGATGATAAAAATTGTGTAGCATGGCGTCGGTTCTTGATTTAGTTAAACATTATCAAAATGCTATAGAAAAATATCCGCATGACGAACAGAAAGTGAGTTTCAGTTTTACTCATCCTTTTGGTGTTCTTTCCTTATTCGTTAAAGTTAAAACAGTTTCTTTAATGTTATTTATATAATTTGATGCAAGAATTAACATGATGACATGAGATAGCGCTATGTATAAATACGCACTTTACAATATTTTGCGACATTATACAAACATATGTATGCTAACATAATCTTCCTTTACTTTATTAAACCTTACTGAAATTACTTTCATGTGACACTATTTAAATTTTCTAATAGAAATAACAAGCAATATATTTTGTAGGTTTTGAAATGCATAAACAAGTTGTTCAGCCTGGGGGTGACAGTGCAGCATCTCCAGGATACAGGTGTAGGCCGCACAGTAAATGCTTTGCGAAAGGAGCCAGGAGATGTCGGCCAGGCTGCGCGATCTCTGGTGTATAAGTGGAAAATGATGGTAGCTGCAGAGGAAAGTGACCCAGAAGAACAAAACAATGACAGTGAGCAAGCCACATTTTAATACTACTTGTAGCCGTTGAGGTTTTGCTTTTGAGTTTGATGTTATGTGCAATATATGTGTTATAAATAATGTAAATAGTGTATGTGCCACCAAGAGCTATTGAGTAAAAAAATATAATCTTATAACCATATATCAGAAAATAATATTTTCTGTAGTGTTTGATTGGGTATGCATGACATCTTCATAGTATGCCTTATTTTAATATAAGATTAATAATTGTAATGTCTTTTTATTCTATATGTACACAAAAAATGATAGACATTTGTTTATATTTTTTCTTTGAATAGATAAAATAAAATTTAAATTTGCTGTTAGTGTTGGGTGTTTTTGTTTATATTACACTAAGATAAAGTATTATTATACTGTCACATGGCCAACAACTTGCCATAGCAAAAACAAAACTGAAGCACTAAATTAAGTTTGCCAATTTCCTTTTTGTCTCTAAAATTATAGTTTAAAATAAACATACATGCTTAAAACAAGCATGGTGACAGGGGTAGAAACAGCTTGCATTGTTTTATTTTGTCTGGCTATGGCATTTCATGTTTGCTTTTTACTTTTATAGGTTTCTTACTTTCATTGTTATTTCTAATTTACACTATATATTACACTTTATATATATATTATGACTATAAAAGTCATAAAAAAACCAACTTATTTTTGGATGTCAATAAATTCCAATGAGCTTTTGTTCAGCATTTCTACAATTTCTAGTTTTCAACCAAGATATAAGGTATTGGGCTTGTACTAACAAGGATTTTAAAATAGAGATGATATGAAATTTAAATTTAGCTATAAAGTTCTATAACATCAAAGATTTCAATAAAAAATATTTAGTACAGACCTATCATACTGTAGTTAGCACCAACCAAACACCTTGTGATGTATAGTTTAATAATAAAACAAGAATTCAAGCTTAAATTAATGATTTAACAGCTCTATTAGCGATACATTTTTGAAAAGCATGTCCTTAATAATCATTTTCCAGTGTATATAATAGCAGCTGAAATAATATTATACACAGTGTTATCATCATAATTATAACAAATTACCAAGACCCTTCTTTGTTTTGAAGGAGCATAACGCCATGTCTTCTTCATTCATGATACTAGTTTTTCGTCTTTGTCTTTTTGGATCTCTGCTTAGGCATATGTACCATGTCACAGCCAAATGTTGATAATGAAGAAAAACTGATAAAACACCAACAGATCTATATATTCTTCATAGACCTAGAGAGCCAAATTTCTAACATTCCAAAAAATCCATGGATTTGATTTTGCTATCAGCATTATTTTTTAAATTGGAGAAACCTGCACCAAGCCAGATTGCCCGGGTTCTTAGCATAACAAAAGCCCTTACATAATTAACTTACATGATTCTCAAATTCATCAGAAGAGATGACATAGTTGAATACCCACTTTACATTCAATCAGACAGTTGTCCATAAGCATAATAATTTTAAATTTACTTTACAAACTTAAACAGATTTTATTTAATGTAGCAACAGTAAGTAACATAAATTTAAAACACATTGTTAACTTCGTAATTTGTGTGCCTCATTATAGCATCAACCTACAATGGTCATCATTCAGAAGATAGTGGTCAAAGGTCTCGAAATAATTCAGGCCAATATGACAAATCAAATTCAACGGGAAAACCAAAAGAAGAAAAAGATGTGAATGGTAGTAGCAGTAAGAGAAGACATCATAGTAGTGAGGTTAGTATTTACTAAAGTATACTTTGACTTCTAAAACTAATAATATGTTACGCTTCTTCTGTTATGATTATTTACAAATCATAGTTTATCTTATTGTTTGCCAAAGTCAATTGGGTATAAAACCTTAAAACAGAGCCACTGAAATGGTTGATTAAGGCACATGATGCAATAAAGGATGTTGGTAATAAAACAGTATGATAAATATACATGCCTATTCTGAGGGATAAATTATTGTTTTTCATATTTCCTGGTAGCTCTAAGAATGGCAATTTTACTTTATACCGTATTATTTTGTAGGTGTTTCCAGTTTTTGCACCAGTATTTAACATATAATATATATCTTGCTACAAGGCGTTTTTAAAATTAGTTTTTAGTGAGTAGTGAATTTAATGTTAATTCCAATACTAGTTTTTATACCAGTTCCTAAAACTGGTTAAGGAGTAATTTAGAATACCTACTTATTTGTCACGGGTGTCAAGGCTAGAATATGGTACCATAGAGGTGGTCCCATTTATTACTGATTGACTAAGATAAATGAAATAAGTTTTGTTTTATCTTTGTTTTCAAAAAGCTTGTAGGGCCAAAAAAGTAAAAAATGTACAGTCCATGGTCCAAAGAGAGAGAGTTTGGGATTCCGACGTCGAGGAGGAGTAGAGGTGATGTTAGCTAAAGAGGCGGTGGGAACGGGAACCGAAGAGAACAAGCACTCTCCCGTCCGTCAATAGACATACCAGGCGCCGGAGAGCGCAAAACGTAACAGGGTAACGGTTTTTGCTCCGCGGCCTCTCTCATCTAGAGAGATATTGTCCCCGTAGTCCATAGTGTGGTCACCTGTTTATCAGGCGGCCCAAGTCTGGCCTGCAGAGGTTCTCAGGGCACCGTAGAGACTCTTCACAATTGAGTCTATTGCAAGAGTTCAATACTCATTTTTGAAGGACCACCTCACACCGTTTTAACATAAAACAATCTAACTGGACAAAAATATTTATACCATCTTTTTATTATCAAATTTGTTTATATTCAATATGTACTTGTACTCATATTCCACTATTAAATTTATTTATCAAAGGTTGCGATAATACCATAAGGCGAAACCGTGAGTTTGATTATGCTATAATGTATTTCAACAAGTTCCTATTTTTTTTAAATATATTAATGTCGTTGCATTTAACACAATAAATGGGGACGGGCACCTTTATACAATACAACTATACTAAGTAGGCTAATTAAAGTTGCTCTAGTGGCTATAATACTTATTTACATGCATAAATTGAGTACCTATATGTTAATCTACTAATTGTACTACTTCTCTAGTTTTTTTGACTTGGTCCCATAAAAGAAAAATCATGTCAAACATTTTATATGAATCACACTTTTTTTTAATGAAAAATAATAAATTTAAATTTTGTGTTTTCGGAGTATCTTAAAAACATCTGAAGTAAAGAAAAAGATTTAGAGTGCTTATTAGCTGCTTTACAAAGACCAGTGATGTACCTATGGGTCCGAAGAAATAAATAAATAATTGACAATATCAGTATTACAAGCAATTCTCCGTGTTTGCCCAGAATATCCTCTGACCATTGACCATTCTGCCATATGACAAATTGGAATAATGCAATACTTTACAATTTCGCTTACATGGTAAAGTATTTTATGGAGGGTGAATTATTTCATAAACAGAAGAAATTGCTTGTAATAGTGTTCCAAGATGCCTTATTGGGCTGTTCCACTAGTCCCTACCAGCTGTCCCTCCTGGATTTTTTTTTCCACTCTTTCCTACCACACCGTCACTTGGGTTAGTGGAATTTCATTTCCACTTATCCCTACTAATAAAATCTTAGTCGTAGTCGTCTTCGTCTTAGATATAATCGTAGTCTTATACAGTTCCAATCAAAATAGCTTTTCATGAAATTCATATTCATCAAGAGACACGAGGCGAATTATTGCCTTGACTGCTGCGTTACCTCTTTTACCTGTAGACCAGGTGACAGATGGATGGTCTTATATAAAATCTAACATCATTGAAGACTTGGGCATGAAAAAATTCATGCAGTATTTTGATAAATGGTGCCTTAAAAATAAAGAATTTCAGAAACGGAACGTCTTTGGTCTGCGACACCGCACCAACAATTGCGCCGAAGCGTGGCACTTTAAAATAAACAATAAGCGTTCCACACATTTAAATTTGCTAAAACCATTAAGTACTTACATTGCCTAAATATGCAAATGGTGTTCTTAGAAGCAAATATGTACATTGCAGTCACCAATAACCTGCAACAAAAGAAAAGGGAACGAAAATACACAATCCGGAACTCAGTCATACCAGACATACAAATGCAGCTAGTGACTGGCAACATTGATGTTAGATTATGCTTGGAGAAGTTACACTACATTATTATTATTTCATCATAAGAGTTATTGAGTAATTAACATAATAATATTCGCAAATTATAATATATTTTTTTTTTCATAAAAGATATATTTCTTAAATAATTATATTTTTCATTAGCGTGATTTTATTCTCGACTGTACTTATGAACAAAATTGGTTTGGTAGGGATAAGTGGAAATGAAATTCCACTCATCCCAGCCAGTGACGGTGTGGTAGGGAAGAGTGGAAAAAAAAGTCCACTTCAAGGCTCCCATCAGGAGGGACAGCTGGTAGGGACTAGTGGAACAGCCCGCCCGTAGATTGTCTTTCATGATGGTTACAAACTTTTCTTTTTCTTCAAAAGTTTGAATATTGTTCTTCTTGATATGTCAACATTGGCATCTAAAAAAAATAAAGCGAGAGTTTCAAAGTGCCAGATTCTAATTCATTTTAAAGTAAATTGAATAAAACTATAAACTAAAGTTAAATTCACAACTATATATATCTATAGAGTTTTTTCTTGAAACCATGAAAAATAGTCAATTTTTCTATAATTTCTTATAATCCTTTTACCGAATTTGAAAGTTTACGTCATAGTAACAAACTCAAAGTGACATTCTTTATACAAAGGGCACGCACCTACCTTTACGAGACACGTTTAGGTGCACACTAAACCAGTTTAAGTTAGTGAAATTTATTGAATGTCTACTTTGTCTCGTTCTAACGCCTTTTTTTTCGTTGACTGTTTTTTAAAATACTGTGATTGTATGCCACTGTAATTTGGTTATAAAGAATTTATAAAAGTTTTTCGTTGTGTACCTTTTTTTTCCGTGCGGAGCTCTCCTCGGATACCACCAACTAGTGGGTGATTATGTCGGACTCGAACCGACCAAAAACCGCACGCCGTCTCCAGGTACCAGTAGCCGGGGAACCAGGTATACCCTAGAAAGGACAGCCCTGGTACCCCGAAATACCTCATGCCATCTACGGCTTATAGATGACCCCTCTTGTGTGGGAACCCGGACGTTCCCCTCCTGCCCCGAAGGGCGTGAGCGCTCCATAGCTCCACCACCCACCCCGGCCTGCTTCTGCTAGAGTGACAGATGGCTCACCTGTCACCCTCAGGCCTGCGCTTATAGAGGACGAAGGTCGCTTGGCCAGTATTCGAAAATGAAAAATAATGTTTAGACGGAACTTATGACCCGACTAGGTATATCTCGCCTATAATAATTATTTACAAACAGTCTATCTAAAGGACGATTTTAGTAGGTATATCCTGAAATTATAAAACGACAAACTAAGGAGGTGTTCAGTATAATAACATGTATTAGTATATATTTTAGTTTTTAAAAGTCTTAGGTGGTCTTATGGCGGGAAATTGAACCATATTTAGCCATTGTTATAGTTTTCATAAATTTTTTATCATTAAATTACAGGAAGAAGAGCTTCAGAAACGGCGAAAATATTCTAGTTCTAGTGACGAAGAGTCCGATAGGCGATCTCAAAGTAGAAGTCAAAGAGACGAATCAGCAAGTGATAGTAATGATGATAGCGACAATTCACAAAGTGATGAAAGTGAGTCAGAAGTTTCCGAATCTTCACAAGAAGAAGTTAAGATTAAAAAACAAATAAAAACAGAACCTGCAGAAGACCATAAATCGTCATCTAAACATTCTTCGCACAGTGAAAATATTTATGCCAAAGGTTCTCCTAGTTCGAAACGACAACAATCAGACAAACACACCAAACATGACAGTTCACATACTAAAGTAAGACAAACTTCTTCAGAAAGATCGTCTATCAAGGAAAAACATCACAGCTCTGACAGACACAGCAATAGCTCCGAAAAACATAAGGGTCACAGCTCTGACAAACATGGCAGTCACGATTCAGACAAACAAGGCAGTCAGAGTTCTGACAAACATGGCAGTCATAGCTCAGACAAACATGGCAGTCACAGTTCTGACAAACATGGCAAACATAGTTCTGAAAAACATGGTAGTCATAGTTCTGAGAAACATAAAAGTTCGAAGGAAAAAGAGTCTAATTTGGAAAAAAAGAACAAAACAGAAAGCAAGTCCAATAGTGAGAAAAATGATAAAGAATCTAAGTCTAGCAAACATAGTAGTTCTTCATCAGACAAACATAAATCTAGCAGCTCATACAAAGCCGAAAGTATCAAAGAAAAGACAAGTTCTGAGAAACACAGTAAATCCGACAAACATAAGAGCTCCAGTAACTCACATAGTTCCGAAAAAGAAAAACACAAGAGTCCATCAGAGAAGGAAGCGTCTAAAAACAGGTCAAAAGAAAGTACTAGCAATGACGGTAGTACTGTTGAAAAACACAGTTCATCTAGTAAAGATAAGTCTAAAGATAGAGGTAGCTCTTCAAAGGAAAAGTCTAATAGTGAGAAAAAACACTCATCATCCAGTGAGCATAAATCATCAAGTAGTAGTAAAAAGAGTTCAGAGAAGAATAATGACAAGAGTGAAAAGTCTGGACATAAATCAAGTTCTTCATCTCATAAGAGCAGTCTAAAGTCAAACAGCCATAGTAAAAAAGAAGATGTACCAAAGAAAAAAGTCCAAATAATTGAAGCGCCAGATAGCGACGATGGAATTGATTGTGGCTCAGGTAAATGAAAGTTTTTTTTTTTAATTAGATATAATATATTAACCAATTATGATTACAATTATTTATATTCTTTCTAAGAAGCACACTTGTTGTGTGGTATATATCCTTCTCCTAAGAATTATATAGACCAAAATTTAAAAAAATCTGAGTTAATAAGTTTTACAAAATCTTGAATCGAGCGTGTCATTTAATGGTGTTATCATAGTCGCAGTGTTATCAATTCGTATTATATATGTTAATAAATAATTAAACTTACAAGTTAATGTCAACTGCTGGGGAACTGCTACTTTATTAACATTACTTGTATTATTAGAAAATATATTAATTCTATTTTGCATAGATAGTTACATTTACTCAGGTATTTATGAGTAATAAGTTTTTTTAAAGTGAAGATTCAGAAATATTTACATGACGATGTGGCCATCGTATTATTAGATTAATCGGCTGTCATTTTTTGAATTTGAATTTGGTGTATACATTTGAATACCACACACATACATACGCATTATTATATTTTCTGAGTTCCTATCGCTGACTGCGAACCTCTAGCTTCAATACTTTTGAAGGTAATTGGCTACGTAGAAATGATTCCTGGTGTTAAAAGATTTTTAAGGCTAAGGTGAGGCAGGCCTACCGTCAAGCTTGGCACGTGTTCGAAAATCAATTTCAATAAATCGCTAAAGTGATTTCGGACTTGTGGCGAGCCTCATTACAATAAATCCTAGTCTTACTGAAGTAATAATTAATTTAAAGGCTAACTGTATCATGTCATAAGCATCTCAAATTATGTTTCTATTATGCGATATTTAATAATCCGTGGTGACGGATTAAGAATACGGAGTGTCACCACCCCTATTCATCCCTTGGGTGTCGTAAGAAGCGACTAAGGGAGCTAACGTAGGACAACCAGCACTGCAAAGAGAAGGAAAACTTGACACAAACCCTACACCAACCCGTCTGGCCAGAGTGGTATAGTAGGCCAAAACCTCCTTTCTAAGGAGAGGCCTATGTCCAGGAGTGGACTATTAAAGGCTGTTGATGATGATGATGATGTATTATTATTACTGTATTAACAAATTTGGTTGTTGTAGGTATGTTTTCTATTTAATTCAATGACATTTTCCAGGTGCTAGTTTTGCTGAGGCTCTTGGTATGATAAGTCCTGCTAAACCTAAGAAGAAATCGGGAACTTCACATCATCAATCACCAAACAGTGATGTAAGTATTTGTAAAACTGAGATTTAAAACATCATTTGATATCGTGTTAATTATAATGTCGATAATTAATAAAAAGGAGAGTAATTTAGTACTCTTCTTTTTATTAGTTATCGACATTAATACATCTTTAAACGAAGCGAAGTAAGTAAGCAGCAGATAACATTACTTTCATTATTATGTAAAGTTAATTATTAAAAACAAATAATCGTGCTCATCACACAATATTTCTCCTGTTTAGGAGTCGAACAAACCCATGACCTAGCTCAGCAGTCAGGTTCTCTAACCAGTAGGCCAACAGTCCGTCTCTCAGTTTAAATGTAGTTAGTACTTAAATAGGATACTTATAACATTTTCTCTTTGAAATTAAATAATGCTTTGTGGTTTTAGTCAATATTACTTAAGACTTGACAATATTTCTCTGTGGACTTCCGATTAGATGATGTTGTTACTTTGAACACTGCGGTACTGAACTCTTTTTCGAAATGAATTTCTGTATCACGAAAGTCGACAAAATTATTGTTTTTTACGCAAGTAGACAAATGTTTGCCCTTGTTTCTATTATCTGTTAAGCGTTTTCTCTTAACTTTAGAGCACTTGCGCTATCCGCATCGCATTCTAATTTATTATAATATCAATTGTGAGCTACACGGTGTTTTCTACTTTATGAAAATACAAAGCGTAGGGACGTGTTAAGATGCCGAAGACCTAAAAGGGTTAGGTACACCTATTTATTTTAATTTGATATGTTGCTGCTACTAGGTTGCTAGATTGCTGCAAGCTGTAATTCGTGTTGACCAATTTATTGTTCTGTTAGGCCAGCACCTATAATAAAGTTTGGGTGAATATATTGATTACAGTTGAGCCCTGCTGCATTACTAGCTCCTAGTGCAAAGCTAGCACCACTGCCGGCTCTAGAGATATCATCATTGCCGGAAATTTCACCGAATTACAAGCCACGGCCGCCGCCGCGACCTCTACCACATTTTAATGACGAGGATACTCTTAGCATAGGAATATCCTCCAAAAACCTAAGGTAAAACTTACTACTTCAGGTATTACACTTATTTCATATTTTGGTTTCTTCTCAGTTAATAAGATGTGACGTTGAAAACTGATGTCATATTTTTTGGTTTGCAGAACGAAAGTGTATTCGGGAAACAAAGTTATAGGAAAGGTACCAACACTGTATGAGATATGTGTACAAGTTCTTCAAGAACACATCGACGGTAAGTAAAATTTGAATGTGTATCATGTTTGGATCATTACTTATTAGCTTGGTTCGCATTAAAAATAATCTATTTACAACTATTCACTTAAACATTTATAATTTATAAATTTTGAGAGTGTGACGTCTTATAAAGACAAGTGTATTGGTGGTCTTAAAATTTCTATCCCCATAATCTCGTTCATAACAAGATATATATTACATACTATGTTTGCACTTAAATGATTCAAAGGCAAATAATTTGGAAATTTGTTGAATTTGTAAAGAACATCTGTTTGCTTATTTTTCAACTGTGTACATTAAAAAATACACATTCATTAAATTATTTACAAAAACTGTACCATCTCAAAAGGTTAGAGCAAGATGCTTTGTCTAAGACCAATGCGATATAGTAACACTGTTCCACCTTAGATTTTTTTAATGTGAAAAGGTGCCTTGAGTAGAGTTTGCTAAATATCAATGTAACCTCAATATTTTCTTAACACTGTTTACAACTTACATTATAAACAGTCACCTGAATAATGGATAATGAAATAATAATATTCAAAAAGCTTATTTCCATATTATTTTGTATGAACGAGATCTCATAAGAATAATAAGATATAAGGTTTGCCTGCCTTATCTTTTAGGATAAATTATAGATTAAACTTTGAACCCTGCACCATAACCAATCAGGTTTCAAGACTTTGGTCTGGGGGCAAAGCTTGGTCAAGTATAAATTATTCAACCAATAATGTACATTCAATTAAGGTTGTAATCTAAAGTTAAAAAATTGTGAACTTCTAAAACTGTTAATTTGCTGTTTTAAGTTAATATGAATAAGTACATATATCGTCCATTACAAGTGTTCATTCAATAAATATATTAGATTTTCATGCAACCTGCACGACGGAAATTAATTGTCAATAATTATGGGTTTTTAACATTATTGGTTATACAACCAATAATGTCTTTTTAATTTCAGCCCTTGAGTACACGGGTGGCGTGCCATACGAAATTCTAAAACCTGTTGTGGACAAAGCAACTCCGCATCAACTATACATGCTTGAGCACTACAACAACTATTTGATGGATGATACTGATCATCTATGGAAAAATTTCTGTCAGAAAAATTTTCGTACCAAACAGAGACAAGAAATGGAATCCTGGAGGGAAATGTACGCTGTAAGTCTTTTTATTATGACTTCTTTATTAGATTTGTTAAAAGTTAAAAATATTATTTTTTCATTTATAACACATATTTCTCGTTGCAGAGGTGCCAAGAAGAGCAAGAACATAGATTGAAGTCCCTCACAACAAATATCAGGATTGCACAAGAAGCAAAAAAAGCGCCTATAAAACAAACCAAAATGGCATACGTTGATTCGTTTGCGAAACCACCACGGAATGTTGCTAAAAAACAAGTAAGAATCATAGAGAATTTAATTTCACCTGTAGCCACTTTCATATATATATATATATATATATATATTTTAAGCTAACTCGTCACATAACCAGTCAAAAGAATAAAATAAAATTCTAATTTGTTTTTCTTTTAAAGATAATAATAATTGCTGATCGACGTTGGTATTTTTTCCACCCATCAAAAGCAGCCTTACGTAATTTGTTGACTGACAATGTAAAGTTAGCCAACCAATTCAATAGGCTATTTTACTCTAAATATTATTGAAATAGCTTAGACAAAAAGCCATAAAACGTTTTAGATCGTGAAATAACCAAATAAATTTAAAAAATCATTTAATAAAGATTTTTCTTATTAAGATTTTTTTCTCATTAGGTCTATTTATATTAAAACTTACATAAAATGGATCTAACAACTTCTTTTATGAAACAAAATAAATGCTACAAAAACATAATGAAAATCGCTAAAACAAGTGACTATCTTGAGTTCTTGACACCTGTCTCGGTGAAAAAAATTATTTGCAAAAACGGGAAGATGAGACAATGGTTTTTAATCTGCTTTTTGTAATATTAGCCGCCATGTTATTACGTGACGGTTGTTTAAACAAAAAATTCAGTTGAATCCACAGTTTGTCTTTCATTCAGGAACAGCACTAACGATAAGTAGAACAATTACTAATTTTTAAATTATATATAATTTTGTATAAACTATCAGCATATATTTAGCTTACACAACTGACTTACGTCATGTTTGTTTTTTTTAATAGTTTATTAGCATTATATAGAATATAATTGAGACACTTTCAAAAATCAGTGTGATACCCTATCGGGATTCAGTAAGCGTGTGAGTTAATGCAGGCGGGATCGGGCAACGGCGCCCTTTTTTTTTAAATCAATCAATCATTAAGATATAATTAAGAAAGTAATGGGATAATGGGTAAATTCATAGGAGCGCCCTAATCTATTTGGGGCTAGATATTTCTTTTTGGTTAAAACGTTAAGTATATTTTGTCGTACATAAGTGCTGATAAAAGTATTCAAATAGAAGAGTACGGAACGGTGTAAGGTTTGTTCCGTGTGCAGCTGGCGCACGGCACGGCGCGGCTGGCGACGGGCAGCCCGGCGGCGCGCGTGGCTGCGCTGGCGGCGGCGCCCGGCGTGCTGCGCGGCGGCGCGGCGCGCGCGCTGTCCGCCGCCTCCTCCGCCACCGCGCAAGCGCACAAGCCCAAGCGCGCGCCGCTCATGGCCAAGGCGCTGCAGGCCATGCGGGGCCGCAAGCGATGATGGTCGCCCTCGAGCCCGCCCGACCGCTCTGAGAGTCCGCGACCGCCCGGTCCGCACCCGGAGTCCCGCTATCTGTACATATTACATTCGTTGGATTCTCGTTTCGCGGGACGTCGTCGTTCGCCGGACGTTCTACGTCTCGACCTAGCTCGTAGTGTGTTGTGATTCTATTATTGTAGCCGGTATGTTCGTTTTAAAACGAGCCGTGTCATCGTTGAATGTATACTTTTAGGGCGGTTTATATCGAAACCGTCCGTAGCTCCACTGTAAACGATAGTAGATGTCGTGACCGTTTTAAACATGTCTAGAAATAAATTAGTAGCTCCGTCTCTATAGGAGTCTTATTTACTTTTAGATTTATTTAATTGATCGTCATTACCTCATAGTTAAATACGATGTCGACTAACGCTTCTCGACACGAGCACGTTTTATTTTCGTTTTCCTTAGTCTTTAAAAAAATTACAAGTTTACGTCGCCATATTTTGATATTTACTTACAGTATCTAAAAAACTGCTATAAAATTGAACACTGTCGATGATTTCCTTAGCCGAAATTTTATTTTAATCGTTCCTCTTTGAGACCAAAAAATAGGCAGTGTATAAAACTTGTATAATATTCTAGAACAAATGAATTTTGAGCTCATCAGAATTTGATAGATCTAAGTTAGTGTATTCACTTAACAAAAAAAAAAACCTATTATTTCGGTCTAACTGTTTACATTAAATAGAAAAGGTCGACATGATTATGTTTATTCCAGATACACTTAGGACCGGTTTTTCAACCCTCAGTTATACTGTCAGACAACTAACTAAGCGAATAAACTTTTTCTGTTTTTCAATCGCGTGTAAACAGACAGATAGTTACTTGATGGTCTGTCATAACTCAGTTCACTTTAAACATGCGCAAGCGATATGCCGCTATACAGTTAGTAACACGTTAGAAAAGAATTACAAGCTATTAGACATTTCTTGTCATTGCTAGTCTGTCAGATAATAAGACCATCTTATTGACGCAACGGTGAATGATGGTGTAGTTTTTTATATAACGAATTGCTACTCGAAAGGTCGTGGGTTTGATTCCATTCAAACATTTGTATACATTTATACTTGCGGGTGTTTCTATGTATAATATGTATGTATTTACAAAAAGAAATATAAATAGTATGTGTATTTATATCAGTTGTCTAGTACTAATAATACAAGCACTGAGCTCTTAGTTTTGACTAGCTGGCGTTGTGTGAATGTTATTATTGTTCGTGTTACTTTCGTATAAAATGGAATCAATTAAGAAACAAGCTTTAAATTTCGAGAAATTGCATTTCCATAACTTGTAATAAAAATTTCATCATCACTCAAAGTATTGTCATATCTTTCTTTGAAAACCCTTTCTTTTCTCTCAAAACAGCAAAATTTAAATACTCAAAAAGGACAACGGATATAAATTCTACAACAACAAATATTAGAAAATGGAAACAAATCCACAAAAGTTAAAATCACTATTTTACAGATAATATCACTAACTGAGGTGTAAAACGACAGATAAAGTTATTCCTTAGATGTAAGCTATATTCTTCAGATAACAGCTATCTGACCATTGAAAAATCCAAACTAACTGTGGAATAAATGCTATCCAACTCTTTATCTGAGGATTGAAAAACCGGCCCTTAGACTTGCTAAATCTATGATTAATTCTGGTATATATATTTTATATATATCTGCTCATATATTGTATATAGATGTGTACTTATCAACGTTTGTTAGCATAGTTAGTGTTGAATTCGACTTTCTCACAATAAGTTTGTATGGAATATCAAAGGTGTACCAAAACGACGGGGTCTTCTGTGATATGTTTGAAAAAAAACATAGGTTTATTGTTCACGAGATCATTCTTCCAGTGTGGCTAAACAGGGGTTTACAGATTTAGAATTGCTTTGTAAGGTATGATACATTGCACCTGTTTACGAATAGAGTCCTAACTAAAAAAAAATAAACCAAATTTCAGGAAATAAAAGTTTATAACCTATTATAAAAATTTAGCTGATCTGAATTTGTAATGCCGCTAAAGCGCATTACACTCTGTATTTAAGTTGGAAATATTCTGTATCTAATAGAGAAATATTTATTTGAGTTATGACCCTATTCATAAAGAAGTGTGATAAGAAAATTGGTTTTATCCTCCATAAAGATTCTTAGAAAAATATCTCGTGGTCAAGTTACGTGATTGTGATGTAGTGCTATCTAACACGCAAGGTAAAACCATTCAGGGGTGTACTTTAATGTATTAAAATATTGTATAGATGTTTTAGAGAAACATTTGTAATTGTGGTACGTAAATCTGCATTATATGTGGTAGGTAATTGAGTCTGTTGGTCCGAAACATCCGTAATTGTTGAATAACCTGGTGAACTTTATGTTGTTTCTTGTTAAGATAGAACTTTATGTAAGTGCGACCAACTTTGACAACAAAAATGTTCAAGCAGTTATGCATACGGCCTGACATCCTATCCAAACACTATAGCTAATGTAATAAAATTATAAAGAAACAGTATCGTGTGACAACATAATACATGTAACTGAGGAGAGACAAAAATCACGTGAACCAAAGAGGTTTATTCCCAGTAGTTTCATATAGCCAGTTTCACGTGGCACTTTTTCAACCCACTAATTTCATACATAGAACTAGTGGCAATAGCTATTTGAAGTACCCAATAGTTCCACGTATCTCGTTGTCTTATAGGACATGAAGGCCTTTTGACTTTAACTTTAATAAAAACTCCAAATATTTGCGTCTTAGCTCCTTACACCTTACACAAGACTACGCTTAACCTTAATCCAATCGCCATCTATTATATTTACGATTTATTATTATAAATAATATCACCTCTTACAGTTTCATTATATGTGTAGTCATTTGTTTTTCTAACGTTTAGTAGTTTTACCAGACTTTTTTTTAGTTATATTGAACAAAAATGTAAAAGTAGTATAAAATTACATGGAACGAATGGTATAAAAATCTAATTTTTAAAGTTGCATTGTGGAACAGGCTTCATGGCACTACTGGGAATAAACCACCAAAGATATCAAATGTGTATTAACACATGTTTAATATCATTATTCCAATGATTGTTAACAATTAAATGCCGGCAGAAATGGAACAGATAACAGGCCATAGTAGATATATAGACCGTTGGGCCCCGAATTCCTGATAAGGACCGAGTCTGTACTCGGACCTTATCGGGAATTACAAACAAACAACCAAAATAGGACAGAATATTTGTGTCCGAATGTACGGGAGATAAATGTAAAACAGTTGTAATTGTAACTTATATATTTTGAAATAAAAAATAACTGTTTTAAAATATTATGGATTATTTAGACTAAATTCATGACTACTTATCTATTATAAATAGTTATAGAGAAAGCACTGAACAGTTTTCACAGGATTAAATAAAAACTAATAAGCTCTTTAGTTGAATTAAAAAAGTTACAAAATTCTTGGCTTTTGCAAATTGTCTCTATTCTACCTACTATATTTTTGATTTTCGAATTGTGATAATATCGCTATGAAAAAACGCTAGTTGTCGTGTATTGTGATCTCAGAGTAAATATAACCGACATATCTTCGAAACGTTACACACAGCATGTTAGCACATAAATGTTCAGTAACCTTGATATTTATCACACACAATAGTCAACAGTCTCAAATAATCCATATAACTCCTTACAAAAACAATGTAATGAGGTACATCGTTGATAATATTATTTAAACTATGATAACAAAAAAACAAGATCTTTGGCTCCATTGCTTTGGTTTGTGAATGAACTTAATATTATTCATACTTAAAATATTGTAAGTACGTACCAATTCATAAAAATAATATTTTTTACAATGTATGTAAAAAGAATAAATGAATTTTAGTTTTACATAATATGAAATATGTACTTCAAGTGAGGGGCATTTGATTGCCTGTTTGTAAAGCTATCCTGATACAATGCAACAACCATTATTAATTTCTAAAATAACCAATGAACTATTTTAAATAAATCAACATACGCAATAACAGCGAATCGCACATGGAAATGAGATAAAAAATGTTTTTTTTTTTCAAATTATTATGATAGCATTTACCAATCCTTAAGATTTCTTAATATATACATAAAAAAAATCACTTCGACATTTCTCCTTCACATAAAAATAGACAAAAACAAATCGTTAAACTATAGACAGTACACGCGAGACTCAGTGCGTGACGAGTCATTATCATGATTCCTCACATCACACATCCCTACGTACGAAATATATTACTTAATGTTTTTGTATGTTATTGTCCAATAACGGTTTTGCCGTGGATTGTATTTCTATCATATAATAATATTTTAATAATAAAAGAATTAAATGTTTGTATAAATCACATCGAGGTTATTCTTCTATGTATCGGTAAAATTTATTTCAATGACAAACTAGCACTAATTTTAATTATAAGTTTTTTCACCTGGTTTCATTGAAAAATGTAATTACCCGTATGCCATTATTTATACAGTGAAATATAAGTGGATTTTATGTACATAATATTCTTTTATTTGACTTTATTAAACGAACACACACTTTAATACTCTATCTAGGAAGTTGTTAATAAAGTACGACTTCAATATTTCTTAATTTTGACTTTAACTGTTTTTCATAATCTGTGTTTATAATTCGAGGACATTGATAAATAGCAAGAAATTTGAGATTCTTGTAGTATTCAGAAATCACGTCAATTATTAAGGGAGAAATATTACCGATTCTGGATAAACTTAAACTTTTGAGTTGCACTAGGGAAGAACTTGCTAAGGTTCTCCGTAAATTAGCCTCCGAAAAGTTTGAATTATTCCAAATTTGTAAATGTTCTATTATTTTTAAATTGGCCAAATTGATAAATCCGGCATCAGTGAGATTCTCGCAACGTATTATGGCCAAGTCTTTTAATAATTTACATTGGGACAACATGTATAAAGTTTCATCATTTACACTATCCGCTCCGTATATATGCAAAGCTTTGAGAATTTCCATTTTCGAATTGATTAATCTATGTATGTATTCTAAATCGAGATTTCTTACTTTCTCTATGAAAATATGGCTCAAATGATTACAACGCAACAAAGTATCACGGGTCTCTAGGGGCAGACCAAAATCTGATAAGGTTAAATGCTTCAGATACTTTAAACTATCGTAAGCAATCGTTAAATCTACGTTTCTCGTTAACAGAAGTGAGTTTTTCAAATTAATTTTCTTTAGATTCGGCCATTTTGTGATGTTTTCTTCAAAATCTTTACCAATACGACACATTACAATTTCTAATGATATGAGATTCTGGCATTGTTGTATTAGTGATTTGATCTCAGGATAACTATAAACATACTGTATTTTCAGACAGCGTATACAATCTTGATGTGTTTTGATGATTGCTAGATTTTTCTCGCTTACTTCGCTTTTGCCTGGTTTGCCAGAGTAAGTAAGCACAATTTGTCTCCAAAGCCCTGCATCACGAGCTAACTTTTTCCATCGGCTGCATACATTCTCGCATTCCAGAATTGTCTCTAACGGGAGCCATTTGAAAATGCTTATCATAAGTTCGTCTGGTAAAATATCAATTAGATCTGTTGTTTCATTCTCTTTTGGAATAGTCATCGCTCTGGATCTGAAAAGTAATTTATATGTAATATAAAAACATACCCACGTTTTTTTATTAGCGTGCTCTACTTGGATGGAATCCTTAAAAATTCTAAAGATGATGTGCCAACCTTTTTGTTTTTTGAACTTTATATATAGCTTATAAATTGCGTCGTTTAAACCAAAACTGCAAATCATCTAAAGTTTTTCGTGTTTCGCACCAATGCTTACAATTGCGTGTTTTCTTGCTTTAGTATGTTTAACTTTCTCTATAATGAAGAGAAGAAAGAGAAAGAATATGGTAGTATTTAAAAATACTAGTAATTTTGTTCCTCTGTTTACATTTCACATAAACTGTACAAATAAGATCAAAAACATTGGTGAAAAATAGCACAATAACTCTATTAGTTCAATTTTTAAAGCTGTATAAATTCACTTTTTATATAGTTAGAAATTAGATCAAAGAAAAAATACGGCAATACATTTTTTTATTAAGGAATGAACGATCAAAACAAAAACATTGTACTGTCCCTACATGTAAACCTTTGCACACTATCACTGGGCCCTGGGCGCACTGGACTGGGGTGAAGTTGGTTTAAAGCTGTTCTGCTGTTGGCATCACTGGTTTTGATAAGCTTTGAAAACACTCATAGACAAGTAAATGTACAAAAATCAAAACTTGTCTATGCTTTAATTAACATTTAGTTAAACTTAAGGTCTTGCTTAAATTACGTGTATACGTTAAATAGGCATTTCTTAATAAAATAACACCAGCGAATAATTTACCACAATAAAATTTTATTTGTCCGCAATCTCATATGGTATATAATATATACACGTATGTGTATCCTCGAATGGTTAGTGCGCTAAGATATTAGGAGCATCATTATATGATAAACAGGTATAGGTACCTACATAGTTTCCACCTATGGAGTATTGATGTTTTTTTTTTCACTTATAGTTTAGTCCATAGAGTTTAATATCTCTGAAAAAGTGCTATAAAGTGTTAATTTTACGTTTTTTAAAACTAGCGACAGCTAAAATAAAAATTTGAAGTTAACGGTTACAATGATGTATTACAAGAGATTATCATTGTTCGAGTGTACAATTTTTCGGTAACTTTAAGCGAAAGTAAGTCAAATCTTTAATATATATTCAAATAAATACGCACTTAATCAACGTTTAGTATTAGTTAGTCTCATAATGTACAGAATATAATCACATTTAAAAATTGTTGATAAATTAAGATATTTAACGAAAAAGGGCTAATTAATGTTATACTTATTACGTTTCGCACCGAAAGTTCACCACTGTCCAAGTTATTTAGCAGAAACCAGATCTTTTTTTTCTGTCTGAATTTTTTGACTTGATCTTGCAACGTAGATTATCGAAGTTATAACTAACTACATGGCATCTGTGTTAGGTCTCTTCGAGGATAGAAAATATATGGCCATATTGATATGATTGTTTTACCCCTTAACCAGTGGCGGATTTACCAGCAGGCTGAGTAGGCTGGATAGGGCCTAGGGCGACAAATTGTAGGCTTCGGCAAATTTGGCCCAAAAATTTAATAGTACTATGCAGTGTTCCAAATACTCCAACATATGTATTTGAAAAATTACTAAAGGCTTGGTGAACAATTTAAATTAGTAATTTTGACTAACTTTTTATTAATAATCACTCAGGGCATGAGGCATAAGGCCCTTGAATGCGCGCCTCCACCGCCCAGTTCGTCGGCGGTGAATTGGGTGGAAATCTTATCTTATTAAACATTGTTGCTTTCCGTCTATGGCCTTATGGCTATGTATCACGGCCGGACAACCCCTGTGTACAGCCGTTTTGTTGGATCCACCCAAATTGGACAGAAGTCGCCCAAAGGCCGACGCAGCGTCGACCAGCTTTGAACCAAGCTGACGGAAGAGCTCGTCGAAGAGCCATCTCGCCTTAACGATCAGGCCCAGGTACTTCATCTGGGCCTACGAGAACCGAGTTGATCACGATTGAGGCGCCAGGGATTGAACTACGAATTAAAGGGCCCATGAAATAAGACGGCCTCCCGCTTATACAAGGCAAACAGCAAGCAGGTATGTTTCATAAATGTTTGTAAAGTCCCCCGCGATACAAGATATGTTTCTAGTGCGGGAGGTGTATTTAAAAAAAAATATAAGAAAAGCGCCCCCACCAGAGAGCTGAGGTGTCGGGCGCTTTTCTTATCTTTTTTCTTGTCTCCTCTAAGGCCCTAGTCGTACCAACCCTACATTCTACAGGAGGGTTCCAAGAACAGACCCTTGTGGAACACTGCACGACATGGCTTAGATATCCAACTTGGTCCTCGTACGTGAGGGTACGCTCCTCTAAATAGTCTGCCACTAGCTGCCTAAGGTACTCTGGCACCCCGTGATAGTGGAATGCCTCTCTGATGTAGCTGAATGGCAAACTATTGAATGTGTTGGCGAAATCCAACGGCACCGCCAACAGCACGCCGCCAAAGCTCTTCGAATCGAATTGGACGTCTGACCGATCGGGGTCCACCTAGAGAGCTGCTGGATGATGTGGGCACAAAGAACCCCCTCAAATAAATTACTATGGCCTGTAGGTCGCAACCGAATTGGCAGTTGTCCCGGATTCGTTAACACGACCAGCTTCCCGGTCTTCCAGCACTCATGCAAACGTCCGGACGCCAAACTAGCGTCGAACACCTCCCTAAGGGGTATGACATGGGGTTGAAGGCTAGGCCCAGCACTCGGGCAGGTATCCCGTCTGGTCCGGATGCAGTGTTCTTGGAACGGATCCGTAGAACAGCCGCCCCTTCCTCTGCACCCGTGACGAGTAGAACATCATAACGGACATGACGACCCGAAGGGGTTTCCGCATGTAAAAAAGGGTTTTTAATTGAGGGTCCGGTTTTTTTAATAACAGCTGTTCTCGGATCCCTCCTATATCAGGCACAGAGTGGCACACCGTATAGTTTTAGTCGGTTCAATTCCGACAACCTCACCCCACACCGCAAATCCCGCTAGGGGGTGGGTTGAGGGTTTCCACACGTAAATTGTAGAGGTTAGTAGGGGCGGCAAAAATTTAATAGCCTACTGGCGGCAAGTATGTAAATCCCCCACTGCCCTTAAGGGTTTTGCTCTGAACCTTTGGACGTATTAACTTTTACAAATATGGATCACTGCTATAAAGCAATATAATAAAATAAAACATTTTGATAATGTGCATTGACATCGATGAGCAAGGATCTGTCTTACCCCTGTATACGAGTTTACATAGACGACCTCCCGTACTCTTTTACAATTTAGTGTAACTGTTTTTAAGTGCCGCGCATAATATTACATGATCAATTGATGAAATGCATATGATAGTCAAACACTAAGCTCGACTTGTGTGTGCTGCTCTTTGGGCGCCTTAATGTCAAGTACCTGACTAATTGCTTTGGTATCGCATTAATCTCTTCAGCCTATAAAAGTATGAAAAAAGGCCCAATCTTCATGGTCAAAATTAGTCTTTCTGCATAATGCCATGCATCTACTTCCATCTACCTTAAAATTACTTTTTCTCAGGATCATATTTGTTGCTGAGTGGTATTTCTATTTTAATGAATTTCTGTAAATATCTAAATGCAATCACATCATACCAATTTATACGTGCTTTGTCACGATGTACCTAATCTTATTAAATGTAGTCAAAATATCGATCTCTACTTGAATACAAATATATATATTCGACTACTATTCTACAGCGCGCTCTTTTGGCAACGAAACGAATAGGTCTTATGACCAACTTCGTGACGATATGATATCTTTGTCGAATGCGTTGGTTAGAGCGAGACCTGACATCTGCATCACATTTAGGGGCCTTATATTTTTTGTCGCACACCGCTACTCAGTGAGTCGGATTCCGTCGGGGCGGGTCGTCACTAGCTCATCCTTGCTTTATACAATCTGTGTATATAAATTTAGTGTAGAGTAGGGCGGCCCGAATTTCTATCGACAATTGTACTTAAATAAGATAATCACAATGCTCCACCTGAGGAATATTGCGAAGTCGATCGCACCGTTAAAGAATAGCATCCAGAATGAAGCAGCCAGCAATATACTTAAACTTACGCCTGCTGCTGTAAATGTATGCAGCCGCACATATGCGAGCCATGAAATCCCGGACAGGCTTAAAGATATTCCAACCAGCGGAAACCCGAGATTCTTCGACATGGTGGAGTACTTCTTTCACAGAGCATGTCAGGTAATCGAAGACAGACTAGTGGAGGACATAAAATCCAGAGGGTCCATCGAAGAGAAGAAAAAGAAGGTAGCCGGTATCCTGAAGCTCATGCAGCCATGCGACCACATTATTGAAATCCAGTTTCCACTCAGACGCGATTCTGGTGATTACGAAATGATTCGAGGCTACAGGGCGCAACATTCTACACACAGAACCCCAACCAAAGGAGGTAGGTGCCATTTTTTTTTTTAATTTCGCTTGTCTTTGCTTACATCATCTATATAATACTTATTGTTAATAGGAAGATTTATTTATAGCACGCGCGACACGTGATGTGACTATACGTAATGTTATATTAGTTGAAATTTGTAGCACTATGAATTAAGCCTTTTGTGCTAAATATATTGTTGCAATTGAAAAATATAAAGGATTACCTATTGAAAACATGCGCAGATTGGATGTGTTCGCCATCCGACCAGTAACGTAGTGAACAGAAAAGTAGGTATAACCTTAAATGTTTTCGTCACATGCCAGTTAACTCACCAGAAGTTACGGAGTTACGACATTCACCTTGATTTTAGGATTTGCTTAGACCGCCTCGATCCATTTAACCTAAAAATAGTGTTGCATTCCTATTATTACTTCTGAGCTAGCTGATTATTAATACGCCATAAACAAAATGTTATTATACTATGCAGATGGCATTAACATTAAAAAGACTGCGGCGACTTAAATGATAGTGGGGACATAAATCGAACAACAAGTGAAACAAAATATCTACCTATATGTTATAAAATTATGTAATCTTTAAATTCAGTAGATTTATGCTATTACTGTCCAAATTCTATAATAAGCCTAGATACCCTAGATTTCTATAAAATAAGTCTCAATAATATACCAATGTATAAATTAACCTTTAAAGCGCATATTAGTATACACACCTACACCTAGCTAATATTCAACTATTTATTGACACTTGAACATTAGGTATATTAATGCTTCCTCTTAGACACGTTACATTGCCAAATTGATTGTACTGAAGTGATTTTAGCTAAAAATGAGCCTTTTTATTCTTTATAGTATAAAACTGTTTCTTATTCTAAACTAGTTTCACTAGTTACATAATCTTCAAATTATTTATTCCCTGACAATTGAAATCAATTAATAATATACTCAAATCTTCTAAAAATCCTATTATGAGATATCATCATATTCCTTCACTCTTCACATCTTACACTCAGCCACCTGGTCTAGGTAGGCCTTATGCTATGGCAATCAGCCTACTGATAACACACCTACATACATATTGTTTAAAGACATATTAGAAACATTGTCTTGCAACAATATTATTATCACTCATGCAAGTACTAAGACCTAACTGACATTGACTTCATCGAATTTTATACGAGAGCTCCCGGATAACTTAAATGCTATTTCGATAGGATTACCTGGAGAAAATAACCTTATGACATTTCCACCTCATTACTTCGTTTGGTAAATTTTACATAGTCTGAGAATCCTAATAATGTACTTTAATATTCATCCCATGGAGTAAAAAAGGAAATTTTCGTCGAGTCACATCATGCCATCCTTAAGTCGACCAAAGCATATCAAAATGCATGCCATATGCATTTTTTTTAAACTGTTGCATGTTCATTTTAGATTTGAAATTATTATTTTTTAAATTGTGATAAAATATATTGCAAATAATTTATTTTTTTCTTTTTGAATTTACATTTTATACGTGTGTTTTCAAGTCATATCTTCTTTCTGGAATCAGTACTTAAATGATTTTTAAAAATGTGTCATGTACCTACTCGTAAAAGCGTTATTTCCAACTTCATGTTTAATGTGTATGTTTAGCGTAAATAATGTAGCTATCATTACAACACTCTAGTTGTGATAGTCATAAAAAACCCTAGCAACTGTACCGACAAATTCAAACAGGAAATATTTCTTGTTATAAATTAGACCCATACCTACGTGTATCTACTGCGCCTTGTTTAAATGAAAATGATGAAGGAAATGAAAGTTAATTTATTGGTCGTAGAAGTTAATAAGTAATTAATGTGTGGAGATGGTAAATATTTATTTACTAGTCTAGTCGGATATCGCTCACAAATGATGACGGAGTTAGCCTCTCCTACTATACTAGAGAGCAAACTGCGTGCCTCTGCACTAATGAGATAATTAATTACGTGAAATAACTAAAGATATAAAAAGTTTTCTGAGCAATTCATTCAAACATCATATTCATTATTTTTGACAGTCTATGCTTACGTCACAACTTACAAAAATTTACTCAGTAAAACTGTTGATTACGTAAAACTATTAAGTGCATGCTAGCCTGATATATTAGATACCTAATACCTTATCTTAAATTATATTAATTATTTACAGTTTCGCTAGTAATGTTTTTGTTATTATAATACCGTACTTATGTTTACAGAATCACGCCTGTCATAAAGTATAAAAGAAATAAAGTAAGCCTTTATTACTGTTACTCTTATAATCTTATTCTGACATGTTACACTAATCACTATTTACATACTTACACCGATTACCTGACCTAGTTATGGTATTTATAGTACATCGGTAATCGGTTTATCTGTAGCTCTTGTCTCTCGACAAAGGCTTCCTCCAAGGACTTCCATGCAGCTCGATCCCTAGCAACACTTCGTTCGCTGCTGTTCTGGCAACCTTTTTTTTATTCGATAGCTAATCTATTAAGGTCCATGTTTGACATCCATAAGTTAAGCACGGGAGTATGCAACATACAGTTCATGATTCATTATTTCATAAAGTATAACATATGTATATAATTTAAAAAATGTGCTTTAAACTATATACCTTTTCTTTGGGATAAATTAAAATCCCTCATGCTTGTTGAGTATGAAGGTAATGTTACTCAATCTTAAACTTTTACATACCTTTAAAAAATCAACTTTATAATTTGTCGATTTAGATTTAGAAGTAAACACCGTCATATATCGCTATAAAATAATTTAATATTTTATCTTTGCACCTACCCTTCATATTTCTACATCACTGTAGGTTGACTGAACTTGACTGGGAGAGAGTGCCTCATGCCATTAAGTCCTTTGTACAACACGTGAATTAAGTTTTAAATAAATAAAACACCACACACAATTTATTATTACTATATTTCAAGTAGTCGACCTTGACCTGCTGAAGCTGTTGCTCACAGACGCCAATTCACATCTGTACAAGTAATATTCCTTTCCTACCATTGACTTCCTTTATTATCTGTCTTTAATTTCAATGTTCTCACATGTTTCCCATCTAACTTCTTAAATGCCCGGAAGATGGCAAAAGTTCGCCTCTTATTTGGAATGGAACTACAATGATAGTAGGCTGTTTACCGCGCCTCTACATACCACTTCACAAGTGGTGGTTGGTAACAACATTTATATAAACATGTAGCGATAGCAACGTCATAAACAATAGCCTTATACTCGTACGCCCATTACTGCAAATAAATTTCAGTCATTTGTACTAAGATTATGCACTTGAAGTTGTAAGATAAAGGTCTAATAAAAAGGATAATGGGTATTAGCAGGTTGGCAACGGGAGGCGTGGTCGTGACGCAGTTCCTTACGTCTGAAGTTGCGTAATACCTAAATATAAAATTAATAAAGCTTGTTTTTATTTTTGGGGCGACACCCACCTTTCATATTAAGATGGATTCGAAAATTTTGATAGCAAACATACTATCGTACAGACCTAGTCATAAATATGTTGGCAAATTTTGTTGTATATTTAAGTTATTACATTAGAATACGACGTTAAGTACCAGTAATGATCAACAGTCTGTTGTTTTGAATAATAGCGTTGACATCACTGGATGCACTTGGTAATAAATTCTATGCTTGCATGTACACAGTTGCGAAGTAATACTAATAAACCCTGCTGTTTTAGTATATATATGGATTTAGTATCAATTAAAATCATGCCGTTTTACTCCTGGAGTAGGACAACAGAAGCAACACACGTAAAACAAAACCTTAGAAGAATTGAATTCTGATCTTTAATATCCAGTCCATTCGTATTCAAAGACATTTGCTAAAACATAACTCCATTAATTACAAAGAAAAACTATAAGCAAAAAAGGATGAACATCACGGATATCTACAACAAAGCGGCCTTTGTCAAATAAATGTAATTTGTTTTTAATCTAGCCCACCATCTTATTTTAACTTTAGCAAGTAAACTATAGGTCATGAAGATATAGCCATTGGAACTTAGAAGCTCGTATTTTAAAGGTGAAACACCAACACAGGCCGATTAACTGAGTATCTATCCTGTAATAGACATGTGAATGAACACCATTTTTGTAGGTACGAAGTCTATTGAAATACTAAAATAGCAACGAGAGCGGCAAAAAATTGTTATTGCAAGACTACTCGAGCCGCAGCTATTGTCCTCATTTTAGTTCAGACAAATTCTTTCCTGGTCGTTTGATGAATGTAAATTTTATTTTTAACAATAATAATATATATATAAAATTCCCATGGGTTTCTCTTTGACAATTCTGGTTTCACGACGGACACTACCGCGTTATAAAATTTGTTATTCTCCTGCCTTATGTATGCGTTACCCGTTATATTTATGTTAATAATTATAAAATCTCACTGTGTCAATTTGTAAAGGCATATGAAATAAACATTAACGAAATATTAGACAGAAGTCATTTAAATCAACATCATTAGTACAAGTCTAAAACAAATCCGAGAACCCTATATGAGCGAACAAAACTATTATTTTGTGTAATCTAGGCTAAGTGTAACAGTGTGTTTTCTAAAGATTATCTAAACTCATAAAACCATATCATACGCATGAAAACAAGTATATTAAGTCGCACAGTGTGATATTAGGCTATGACATTGTCTACAAAGGATTAGTTTAAATACGTAGTTATTTATGGCTTTGTATTTATCATAATTCTCAACATGTCTTCGATCGGATCTTGTTTGTGTGCATCGGTTTCACCAATGTAAAAAGATCTTGATCGTTTGCATAGTACCTCAATTACTATGGAAAGGTATAATCTGATGTCAAATTAACAGAAGCTTATTATTTATTTTATAATAAAAATTATATTTGTTTGTTTTTTCTGCAACGAAGTTAACCACTACACAGGTATTGCCAATTAACAATCAAACATCGAAGTAATAACTCTGACTACAATTAATTTAATTTTGTCTGATTATTAATTAACATTACTTTCTAACAGTGCTTTCTATAGTAATTTTTTTACTGTATGTAGCAGCTTAAGCTGTAAAAGATTACAACACAACTTTACAACATTAACAAAGCGGTGTATTGGTTGTTTAGCAATTTCTTACGAAATATTATGATAAAAGACTTTTTCAGCATCGTTTGCCTTTATACAATTCTATTTACAGACAATGACTAAAAAAGTATTGCACCTGCTTCGTCTTTTCGTATAAAAAAAAACAAAAAAATAATACTAATAAAAAGTAATAATCTTACATAACAATCAGAAAAAATCGTGCCTGGCAACTCGCTGATTCTGTTCTTTTCTGTATATTGTTGCCAAAACTATTAATAGCAACTGCATGTTATATCAACATTTTATGTAAACCTATAAAAGAAAAGCTATATCAGCGTAAATGTAATGTCAAGGCCTTCTTTATTGTTGACCTACGTAGCACTTACGTCGTAGCAGTTTCGTATTTGCATACACTGTGATGCCTCTTTACATTCGCATGCTGGAATTGGTAGTTAACCTGCTCTTACATTACATTTTTTAGCAGTCAATTGATTTCTTACGAAATATTAGATTTCTTCGCTCTCATAAAAATATTTTTTTCATACTTGCAAGCAGTACTTTTTTCTGAAAGAACGGTAACTTTTCTATATCCCAAGCAAAAAGGATACAATTTTTTACAATCATCGTGTGTACTGAACCGCAGCGCAATAAATACGAAGAGACAAAAATTGTTTCAAACCTAGTCGTTCGTCGCAGTTTCACCTGCGTCTCGGTCACTGCTCTGTTGCTCTGTTCACAAGCGTCGTAGTTATATAGTCCGTAACCTACCTCAATAAATACGCCATCTAAAACAAATAGTTTTTTTTCGAATCTGAAAAACGAAACAATCAGTGAAACAGAAATAAAACTCTTTAGCCTTATTAGTATAGAGCCGTCGCGCAATATGTCACGTTGGAAGCCTTTTGGATAATCCTTTGTTTATCGATGTATTTTATTATAACCATATATAATAAGCAATATAAATGAATGGCTGAATATGTTGCCAAGTTCAAAACTCGTAACGACTGGACCAATTCGTCATTATTTAAATATTTATTTAAATCTGTGAAATATTCTTATGAAATGGTAGCCAAGCCAAATGAGTGTACCGCTAGAATTGTTCACACTTTTACAAAATACCTTGTAACTCCGAAATTTTAGTCTTCTATGCCTACTTAAAACTATGTAATGAATAAATGTTTCTTGATATATTTACAACAAAAACAATCAAGCAGTAAAGCAGCTGCTGTTGCACTACCCTCCACATACATATTGGTATTGCATGCAGTCCCCTCACAGCTAATAGAGAACCCAATCGAAAACATTTTGCCATTTATTTTATATCTTAAAATCCGGGGAACGCCAATATTTTATCATTAGAGATAGAATCGAATGGTGCGGTAGATAAACATATTTAAAAAGCTGATGAAATATTCTATCACATTTTTACGTAACTATTCAGTATATTATTTCCATTCTTAGCAACTAAAATAAAAAAAACTTTCTGATATCAAAACTGAATGATTATCGCTATTATTCATTTTGATAACCTCGACAGAAAAACAATCTTGGACATGAGTCAATTTATGTTAGCATTGGATAACAATATATCTTATACCTACATACCTGATATGCTTTGACATTATACTTGAACTTCAGCTCACGATAACGTTCATTTTAATCCTTGCCTCTTGGTTCTTCTGCAGAAATATACATCTTCGGTCATTTTCCTAAAAGTTTCTAAGATTTTATTATTAAAGGTTTTTAAAGAAATTAAACAATTTTTAGGACATTTGTGTTGCGGACAATGACTCAAAGAAAAAAGAACAAAAAATCAATAGATATCTAAAGCTTAGAATCTAACAGATAATCGTGGTGTTGCTGCCGCGTCAAATGCCCCTTCGTTTAAAATTGTTACAGCTTATTGAAAAGCATACTACAGTAAATTTTAGGTATTGTTAAGCCGGTTATGACATATATGATTTGTGTCCTCACTGACCCTGGCAGGGCCACCATTATGGATTTTAATTTTAATAACACAAAAGTTTAGTCGCTAATTTGTCGCCAAATATCAGAATTAGTCGGTCACTGGTTCAAAAGTTATAAGCGTTTACAGGGAGCCCTGCTGAAGTCAGTCTCACCAGCAGGGCCACGCTTGTATGTCAAAAGCTAGGGCACCTAGCGATGATCTGTTTTCTCTCAAATTTAGTTGCTAATTTGTCAAAATCAGTCGCCAAATATCAGAATTTGTCGGTTGTTGTTTACCTTAAAAATTAAACCATTACTCGTATATTTAGGAGATATACGAGTAATGGTTTAATTTTTAAGGTAGGTATAATTCTAAGAGCTAGATCGCAGAATTTACGAAAAATTATATTAGGTCTGTACCTATGAAATTGCCGTTTTGTATGCAATAAGTGAAAGTACTTATTTTTTCAAACTTTTTTACTTCTGTTATTCGAAGTAATCACCCATGCAATCGACGCATCTTTGCCAACGCATTCGCAGTTTATTGATGCCCTTTTTGTAAAAATCAGCTGGACGGGAGGCAACAAACCCTTCAAAGGCATTTTGTACTGCCTCTCGGGCATTGAATTTTTTACCCACTAAAAAGTTGTCTAAATTTTGGAAAAAGTCATAGTCGGTAGGTGCAAGGTCTTTGAGATAAAAGCGTGGCCGACCTAGGAAAATTCGCCCTAGGTCGGCCACCTAGGAACGCTTATAACTTTTGAACCAGTGACCGACAAATTAGCGACTAAATTTTGTGTTATCAAAATTAAAATCAATGGTGGTGGCCCAGCCAGGGTCAGTGACACATGATTTTCTACTATATATCGTCATGGCGGTTTTGATGCATAGTGTTTTTTTACTTTCAGCCAATGAGATCACTCATTTACAGTAATTATAGTGTCAGGCACAGAACTATACTTGAAACTCGTTGTTGTAAATATTCATCTTTATAGGTACACAACAGAAAATAAGATGAACCTTTATTTTGTTACATGAAATTCTATTTCTATTCTATTTTTTATAAGACAACGCCCGCATTAGGAATAAATCCTGTGTCTCGGGGGACTTTACAAACACATGATACAGACACAAAGAACACCCAGACTCAGAACAACAATTTGTGGATCACACAAAGTGTCGTCCCATGTGGGGTTTGAACCCACAACACTCGGCGTAGTAGGAAGCGGCGTGGAGACCACTACGCCATCCGTGCAGTCAATTATAATTGTATATGTTATAATTATATGAAAAATATTTCCGAGTAAAATGCAAGTACAACTCAGGTTACATAACATGACAAAAATTGTCTGTCCCCTATCGGAATTTTACCAACACGTATGCAAATTACACTGGCATTAGTTAACAGACATGTTATTTGTCCTAATTATGGACAATTTAAAACAATTTACTAGATGTAGTCGAATAAATTTACAAGGATAACAAACGGGTAAACTTACTTTTGAAAAATGAAGTTTTATAACTGTTGTTACGTAAATGAGAACGACGGTACGTAATAAGAATGTAGATAATATGTTGCTAGCTAAATTGAAATAAGTAGGTTCGATAAGAGGTACAATACACATACTTACCTAAATATATTGCTTAGCTAATATTAATATACCCTTATTATGATTATATCCAATCGAAAGTTATATAAAACTGTATATCTCAAAGTAAAGAACGGGATTTAAAATTTAAGCCTTATTCTTTAGCATATATTTAAGTCTTAAATCATACAAAAACATAGAAGTCATTGATAAGTTTAATCATATGATATAATATTACGTATTAGATTATTCCACGATAGCACTATTAACATATATTAAACACCTATTAAACATAACATCTTAGCTTAATTGCTAATTCTATAATATGATAAGTAAACCGTGTTCACTAGTTCAAATTGTTTTCTAACTCATAATTTGTATGTCAGGTATCAGATTCTCAATGGACGTTAGCAGGGACGAAGTGAAAGCCTTGTCTGCTTTGATGACATTCAAGTGCGCTTGCGTCGACGTACCCTTCGGTGGTGCCAAGGCCGGTATCAAAATCAACCCCAAGGAGTATTCTGAACATGAGCTGGAAAAGATCACACGTCGCTTCACATTGGAGCTCGCCAAGAAGGGCTTTATCGGTAAGTACTTTATAAATTTCATATTGTTATACATATATTCTAATTGAAATGTATAGAACTTTCCATCAAAATAATATATTATATAATGATCTGGCTTATATCGCGATCCACAGAACTAAGAGTATGTAGATATCTGTGTTCATGCTGCAATAAGGCAAGGGTGTGGTTCCTGTATTCTTGAACTGATCATTTCGATTTTCAAAATGCCGTTGCAATTGTGACCTCTGTGGTAAATACCGACTGAAACGACTTTAAAAGACAAACTTAGGTAATGAGATGCAGCCTGAATCCTGACTTTTTCTAAAATAGATATTTTAGATAAGTATTTCCTAATGTAGTAGGACATATTATTCTTTTTCCCTGGTTTTAATCTACTCTAAAACGACTACGCCCTTGCAATATGGGTACATATTAGAATATCTACTAGTAGCTAGGTCCACATTTAGACATTTCATTATTCGTGTAAGTATATGAAGATATTTACGCTCATAATATTTATATGCATGTATGAGGCATCTATCTCCCACAGCTTAAACAACAGGAAATTGAAAAAGTAACAAACAATTTGCTAAATCCAACAAAAACATTCCTGACATATCACAAGTTGTGTACAATGTCAATGTTGGTACACGTAATTAAGTTTAGTTGTTTTGTTTGTCGCTGGAGACGCGTGTATTTTGTATTAAGACTCATATTGGAATTTATTCGTGAGTAACGAAGTTACGTGTACCTAAATAATTACCTTCGTTATAACCTTGCACAGCTCAGTGCATCGACTGTCGACTGTCATGTACGTTAGGTCGATAACCCGCGCAAGGAAATTACTGTTGCGCGATATTACTTGGGATTGGCAGAGCCTTTTTACTGACAGCGTTTCATAAGTGCTTTATTTGTGTGAATGTTATATAGTACATCAATAGACCCAATTCTTAGGACAAATAACAAGAGAGAATATTGCTTTCAAATAGGATAAATCAAGAAACTTTATTAGCCGTGATATCAATACCTTTATCAATAAAATTGAATTGCAAATCGAGGTGACGTCGACGGTAAATCCGATAATCAGATACAGTCACTGTGTAGTACTTAAGTGCATTTTATAGCAACGGATTACCATGAAGTGTAGTTAGTATCGGACACGTTCTCATTTAGAACATAGACATGTCGAATTTGAATAATATTTATCTTATAGGATATCATGTACTTTACGAAACTTAATATTCTTAAAATTAAAATTAATATTCTAGAGCTCGTCACACACAACCGATGACGTTCAGTAATGATTCCACGGGACGTTTATAGTATTGAAATGCTCATAAAAAAAATTGGTCACCTCGGTTCAGACAAGAAACGTCCTGACACTAGATATAAGATGGTAGTTGTAATACTGCACAAATATAAGCAGCAGATTACAAATATATGTATATATATTTGGTATTAGTAATTGTTTTTCTTCACATTGTAATTAATTAAATATTATTAATTAAATAATTATTGTTTAAATATCTTAAAATAGATAGGAAGTTTTTTTGAACCAACAAACTCTGTTAGGTTCTTTTTTTTTGCATATGCGGCATATTTGACAATTTCAAGTCTTGTCATATAGTTTCAACTAAGCTAAGTAGGTAAAAAATGGTTTATCTAAGATTATGAGTGTACGCGATGACTGATAAATTACAAAAAAAAATGAAAAAAAATAAAGAATAATAAGTGGCAACTTAAATAAAAAATCATTCTTAATTTCATCATTCTTAATTTATTGACTGACTTTTATATGGTTGTTATAATATAGGTACGTAATATTCGTCCTTAAGTTGCTTTTATATAAATAAACAATAATTTAAATAATTAAATATACGAGTTCAGATTACTTATATAGCCACCATTTAAGCACCTTATCAAAATAGAAAAGAGACTGAAAATACGTACATTAATCATAAGAAGTATACATTTAAACTGAATTTATACAAAGTCAATGGTATATTCACCATCACGAAAATCACCTATGAAATTTTATTTATTAAATAAAGAAGAATAATACTGAAACACAATCAATCGAACTAACAATAATCAGCCAAGTAAAATTCATAAGTACCTAACCTTAATTCTACACTTAACAATAAGGCATAATATTTAACCATATAACTGAAGTAACCTATCGCAATTAGCGATCTAATCTGCGCAACCATTGTTTGCATAAAGAGGCACAAAGAAGATGAATATCCCTTCTTACATGTAGGTAGATATGTGTTTATACACACATATCCACGCTTAAACACAGCGTTGACAAAATTACTGTATCTTCAATATTGGGGGGCCTGGATCTCCAAAATACAAGCCAAGGCTTAGTTTCGACTCCAGATCTCCCACTTATTAGAAATTAAGCTAAACTTTTTGTCAATGTAGATATTAAGACTAGTAAAATTTGTGGAGATAAATATAAACATATTATTATTAACGCCTATTTAAAGAATACTTAATTTTGTCCAGGGCCCGGTGTCGATGTACCCGCCCCCGACATGGGTACTGGTGAACGTGAGATGTCGTGGATTGCAGACACTTACGCCAAAACCGTTGGTTTCCAAGACATCAACGCGCATGCTTGCGTTACTGGAAAACCTATCAACCAGGTAAGACAAATAAAAACAATAGGCAATTACCTTGGAACACCCCGCACACAGCCGTCTGACCTAAAACTAGGCAAATATATTACTATATATATATATATAAACATTCATGTACTTTAATACGATAGATAAATTAATGTTCGTGCTCGTCACATAATTATTTGTTCTGTAACACTAACCACTAAACCAATATATTGTTTTCAGTTTCTGTCTTATATTTAATATAGTTATTAATACATAAAATACTCAAACAAATGGTGTAATTTTCAATGCGCTTTCCGAAGTTAGTTCTAAAATTCTCAGGTTTTCCGGTAGAACGTTACAAAGTTTTTATTTTGTTACCTAATTGTAGGTTAACGCAGTGATAAGCTTTTATACTTTACAACAGAACACAGTTTAAAATCACCAAAAAAATAGTACATGTCGATAATCTGTAATAATGATTGACAACCTGCGATATGCATAATAATATTATTGCTTACCATTAATTATTAGGACTTCTCTTCACAAACATCCAACTTTATTGATTTTTGTTTGTAAATCAATTTCACTTATTTTTAAATTTGGTTAGTTTAATTGCTTTTGCTGAAAGATATCTACACTTTATAATTTAAAAATCTTGGTAAGGTTGTGTAATTAATAGTTATGGTTAAAACATCAATATCAAAATGAGTTTCTGCTTGCTCCAGGGAGGAATTCACGGAAGGGTATCCGCTACCGGCAGAGGCGTGTTCCACGGACTGGAGAATTTTATCAACGAGGCCAATTACATGAGCATGGTTGGTAAGTAGAACTTCAAACACAATATGTATAAGTACTTATAATACTTACTTTAGTTACTTAATTATTTCACAACGTTCAGAATTTGTGAACGTATATTTTCATACGTTTATTATTCAAGACAAAGTTTTCAAGAAACGTAAAAATTATTACAGAATACTTAATGTAAGTCATAGATTAGCAATAATTTGTAGTGTTTTGTAAATTTGAAACTGCCACAGTTGCATATGAATTTGCAAAAAAGGAGTTTTTTTATGTACTTCTTTATGCACTAAACAAATGAGCATTTCTTCCAATCGACCTTAGGGCTATGCAGAGCTAAGAATTGGTATATGCACAGAAATTTAAAATGTGATTTTATGAAAAATATAACGTATATAGAATATATATACTTATTAGAACATTTTTAATAATGAATACATATTTCAAAATAAGTTGCGATGAACAAGATTTCCACTCAATACGCTACTGTAACGAGATGGTAGTTCTTTAAACAATTTTTTTTTGGATCTTTACTCGGATTGATAGCCACGACCGGCATTTTAAATTAGAATTTTACTTTCGTAGAATTGTATGTATTCATTAATAACCTCCTAAATAAGATTTGTATCAGGACATATCCACCACGATTCGGCTTATTTGTCCACTTGATACGCAGTGTCGTTGACGAGAAATTACCTTTCAAGTATCGCTCGGCCCACACAGCGATAGTTATTATTCTGAAATATCAGGCTCCAATTACAAAAGTAATAAGACGTTCCTTTAGTTAAAGTTTTGGAGGTCATCGAAGGTTGTATGAACTATGTCAATTTTGACTTTAATGGGATTGCTTCTTAGTGTTAGTCTTTATCCGTAAAAGTTTGATATCTTTATTATTTATCATGTTTGTTGCACTCGTATAAGGAGTACCAAGATTTTGCTAATTTCCAAACACCACTCACAACAATCATGTGCGACTAATACCAACTTCCTCTTTTCCCGTGGAATTCTATCGTCTCAGGCTATCAGCGCAGTAGTAATACAACCCCGTGCTAGTAGTACCGCAGTCATCTAGACATAGTATAGCCCCACTTCTTCAGTTAAGCGAGGATGCCAATTCAATTTCTATTCCACTATTAATTTAATTTTTAAATTAATTTGTTATTTACTTTTCCATATCTTCTCGTTGATGCTGTCGCTATGTGTATTGCTAATATTTAGCCTCATGTTTTTTTGTGTAACTTGTGTAACTGAATGGTGAAGAACCTTGATTCTACAGAAATCTACGATGAAATAACACTACAAGCAGTAATACTGTTATTTTGCATAGGACGGGTGAGCAACAAGGTTGGCAAGGCATAAGAACACCAGTAGTGTATAGGCTCTGGTTATCGAAGATTAAAAAGCTGAATGGTTTGCATTTGTTTTTTTTTCACCATAGGTACCACTCCCGGCTGGGGTGGCAAAACCTTCATCGTCCAAGGCTTCGGTAACGTAGGTTTGCACACCTGCCGTTACCTCGTCCGTGCCGGTGCTACCTGTATAGGAATCATCGAGCACGACGGTGCTATTCACAACCCCGAGGGTATTGACCCTAAGGTAAGATATAATCTATATGGAGAGCAACTAAATAATAATCTCAGCACAATTTAAGAAACTATCTCACTGCTTCGCTGTTTTCGATCTTCGAGTCAAAATAAATAACAGTCTATAACAAGTTTTTAGAATTTGTATCCCAGGACTTTTCTAAATTTAGTTGTCTAGGTTCCCGAGGCTTTCAGTTCATTATTCTCGAGTCCCGCTCGGTCCCGCTCCGCCGTCTCCTTCACGAGCAAAACTTGCTGGCAGAAGAAGACGGGGAGTTCCGTGCGCTCTCGCTCCGTACCATGGTCATAATGATGGTACTGATGCGAGAGAATTTCTACTCCAAAGGCCGCATGAGGTCAGACCTCTGCTCAACCCACGCCGGGCATTTTGCTAGCGTGTGGAGAGCCGTGTCTACTGTCTGGCCATCACAGTGGTAAACTCAGGCGTTGGCTCCTTGCAAAACCAGACGATCTCCGAAGCATCCTTCGCCGGTGATCACCTGCGTCAACCGGTATGAGAGGATCTCGTGCTGCCTCTCGAGCCAATCCTTCATAACGGGCCTTACCGGCGTAATAATGGCGTTCCCGGCGCTTGGTTGCCAAAGTCGTTCCTTCTACTTCTCCACGAGAACCTGGGCGGAGTTGGGATTTCTGGTCCCCAATTTCTCGAGCCTCAGGACTCCGACCCTACTCCCGTGCTTTAGTTCAGGTCCCACGGTGGAGTTCCAGCCAGGAGACTCGCCGCCTCAAAGGAGATCGTGCAATTGTGCGGAATGAATTTCGATCCAGAAAAGTATGTAGGACAAGGCTATGATCGATGTTCCACTATGTCAGGAACGAAATTTTAAACAGGTTTTCTCGAAATCCTATAATTTATCTAGTTTTCTTAATTTTGCCCCACTCTTAGGTAAATGCTGGTTACGCCCATGGTTGTGCGCAAAAATGTATAAAGTTGTACCCGCGAGCGAACTTACGGTGGACAAAACTGATGCATAATAAAATTGTTTTACATCTTACACTGTGTGATTATAACACAATCTGTCAGCTTAACAAATAATTACTAAATATCATCGCAATACGCGTTCTATATATATAAGAATTAACGTGAGTTATTCTTTTTATACATGATAAACTTTAATAAATAAACCTCGATTCTAATTATACATACTTTAAAACTGTCGAGCTTTCCCAAACGCTACCAGTTGTCTATTAAATTATTTAACTATTTTGTCATACATTATTTTGTATACATTGAAAGTAATACCTTATTACAAATTCATTTGCCAATATGATGCCTAATAAAACACCTCTAATCTCTTAAACTTAAAAGTCGGATATCGCATTTTTTGTAGCTTCTTTGTAAAAAGTTGAGTTGGCATAGAATTTTGATATACTCTTGATTTATAAGATGAAATGCATTCGCATGCTCTTTTGTATCAAAATTCTATGCCAGTACTAATAAAAAAACTCTCATAAGATATGCTTCACACCGTTCATCGATGAGTAACCATTTAATTGAGCGTGAAACTCTTTAAGTCGTTAAGCCGTATTTTATGCTTTTTGAATTTTAAATTCTCACACTTACAGCCGTTATTTAACATAATTAAGCTATACCTTTCTGGTTTTTTAAAATAACGCGATACTAGTGGAAGAACATCTCATTTAAAACAGCATCACATTTCGTTCTTTTAAAGATTAATAAATTACAAAAACACGGCATTTAAATTATTATTAGGCTGATTTAGAAGGACTGACAGATCTGTATTATCCACCTTTAATTTTTGTTATGGTTTGTGTATACTATGGATAATGCTAATAGGATAGTTCAACCACATATATTACACTGAACAAAATCCAATAAATGACTGGATTTAATTCTTACATAAAATTCAAGTCGAAAATATCATGAAGTTTAACAGTTTTACCAGTGTTTTACAAATAAAATTAATCAATTTTTAGTCTACGAAGAATATTGTATCCATTATGATGCCTGGATGCATTAAACACCAACACGGCTAGATGCAAGATGGTTATGTGTATATTATACTCTACTACTCATTATATCGCAAATGACCTCGAAATTCATTAAATTAATCAACTTAAACATATTGATTGCATAGGTTGTAACCTGTAGGAGCAAACCCTGGCAGTCGACGTTCACGTCATTAGGACCCTACCTAAATTATATTTTGTTACTGTAACTATGTACTAACAGTATTTTACTTAGTTTAGATTCAAAATGATTTGTTTTATATTGCAGACTCTGGAAGACTACAAAAACGAGCACGGCACAATTGTTGGTTTCCCGGGAGCTAAGCCATACGACGGCGAGAACATGCTTTACGAGAAGTGTGACATTCTCGTTCCCGCCGCCGTTGAACAAGTTATCCACAAGGAAAACGCCCACAAAATTAACGCTAAGGTACATAAAAGAGGAATTATTACGCACATTACAGGATAACATACATTACAGGATAATTGCTACAGTTACCACGGTAGTTGTAGCTCATTTTCAATAAGATACTTTTGTATAAAATTCTTTTGAAACACAGAGCTATTGGTTTCTATAAACATCGAAAACAAGATTGACTTTTCTAAAAAGTTCTGTAAATTTAGATACTTCCGTTTGTCAAAAAAAAATCACAAAATTTCATAATCCAATCAAATTTTGGCAATCTGTTTTTTTAACTACTACCAAAATAGTTAATATTGATATTAATACTACCCGCTAAAATTTGTCCCAAGTGGCAAAACCACCCTTGTAATAAAACTTCTTCAACTAAATATTTGACTTATTTTATTTTGCATAAAATATGTAATACCAATTGAAATATTTGACTACATTAAAATTGGTAAAAGTAGTAGGTGGTAACAAGTTATTGTTTAAATGTTCACTTGCCAAACATTAGGTTTGCGTTAAAATTATTTGTGAGGAGTTTATTTCCTAAGTAATAATTTGGCAAATTAAATTATGCTTCAAATTGTTTGGGAAGTAATGATTTATCATTTTTTTTAAATGAAATAAAGGTAACCCCTTGTAAATGTAGACTCATAAATAATTGTTTCTGCATGTAACAACTTTAACAAGACATACCTAACCATGCACAAGTAGTTAGATGCGTAGCTCACTGGGGTATGTTTTAAGTATAAATAAAGGCAAATTAATAGTAAATAATAATATTTCGGGCATCTGACACACAAGGCAATCTAGTTTTAAACTAAGCAGTACTATGAAAACTAGACTGACTGATAGAATGCTTATAGACTTTTTTTTGTAAATACATACATATTATACATAGAAAATACCAAAAAGGATTAACCACTTTCCACACATTTCTCGAGAGCTAACATCACCTGTAATGTTATTTACTTTAGATCATCGCTGAAGCTGCCAACGGTCCCACCACACCCGCAGCCGACAAAATTCTCATCGACCGCAACATCCTCGTCATCCCCGACTTGTACATCAACGCTGGTGGTGTCACCGTCTCCTTCTTCGAATGGCTCAAGAACCTTAACCACGTATCGTACGGACGTCTTACTTTCAAATATGAACGGGAATCTAACTACCACCTTTTGGGTAAGTCCTATACGTCTTTAAGTTGTTCGTGTTGCACTTTTTTAAATAACACACACGTGATTAGCTGTGTGCAAAACTGATTTGTTGCTAATTGTGTAGATTACTTATCAGTAATCAGACTGACAAATCACAACCCGAAAGTTGACACTTCGATGTTCTTATTGGATTAATAGACTTTGGTTTACTAATGATAGAAAAATCTCATTAGACCTACACTAATTACAACAATGATTATATTGGAAAGTGATAAATGTAAACGATACTTGAAATAGCTATATAGATGAAGACGTATTGAAAAGAGTTACGTTCTTTACTGAGTGTGCGATGATAAGCGTTGTTAAACTGTTAAAGAATAACGTAGACAGAGCGCCGTTGCCGTTTGTTTTTGCCATATCATAGTTCATTTTCAGTATTATGCGCATGAAAATACTCACTTATAAAGCTGAAAGACAATGTGAAATTCAAAGCAAGATCGAGGATTGTATTATATCATCATTGATATAAAACGTACACTGATGTTTAATGATCAGATTCCATTCGTCCTAGCGTTTGTTCTTAGTCCAAAACAAAACGTCTACGTCAATTACAGCCTGAGAAATAGAGAAAGTAAGCCTAAGACAAACTATTTTTCTCGCTTTTGAATATAACTTAAGAAGGAAAAAGTTAAGTGATTTCCAATCTACTCGTAGGCAACTAACCATGGAATAAAGAGCTCAGCTTTAAATCTCCTTTAAACCTATTTCGTGATGTATCATACAATATGTAGTACGAATTATTAAATATAAAATTGAAATAAAAATTACATCGTTTTAGCATTTAATTACTTACCTATAAAATGTACACATTGATGAAGCAAATGCTTTAATTATTGGACTCGGAGATGTCCATGTGACAGCATATTGATGCGACATGCAGCACATCATTTCGCAACCTCGGTTTTGTCCTAAGATCTTGCCTACCTTTTAAGAGTTTGTTAAGCTTAAGTGTTGTTTATATTGCTTCAGTTCGTGGTTTACTGGAATACGGTTGTCAGTTTGTCTCCCTGTTACGCGATACTCAAAGGCAGTCTTGAGCGCATCCAGAAAAAGTTTATCGATCACCTTAATTTAAAATTTCATCACTGCTTACATGATTACAAAGAGAATTGTCGTACTTACAATTGCCTAACTCTTGAGAAGAGGCGTATTCTGATGGATATGGGGTTTCTATATAAAATTTTACGAGGAGAGATCGATTGTCCTATGCTTTTAAACAATATTAAGTTTAATGTACTCAAGAAACACACTAGACACACTACATTATTTTAGTATATAGAGATAGTGTAATATGACGTTTACTTGACTCTTATAATATACACTTTGGTAGTGTGGATTACATATTCATCGGTTACAAGGACAATTTCAAAAAACGAGTTTCGCTTAAATTACTATCATTATAGGCTTTGTAAAATTACAACATTATTACACTGAATGGCTGGTTTTATAGGTTTTTTAGGTAATAGAAAGTTTCTAATGTAATTATGGAATTTAATTTTTTCCTCATATTTATATGTTATTTATTTATTTATTTATAATCTATGAATATAATAAATTATATTTCATATTTTACATCAATATACCTATCCCTTCAAGGTTCGCCAATCAGCTTTAATATTATGTATTGTGATTAGCATATTCATCCACTCTATGTATCTAGCGTGGATAAGTATTATTGGCTTCTCATGTAATCATATTTAAATACCTAATTAAGAATTGCCGCTGTTGTTATTCCTAAAAATAAATAATAAAATAACATCGTTACATAAATAAAAAAGAATAGAGTCGTATTTTAATATTTTATAATACACCTAAATACATTTATCCATTTATTAATTTAAAATTTAAGCTCGGTATCATCAACAGCCTTTACTAGTCCACTGATGGACATAGGCCTCTCCTTAGAAAGGAGGTTTTGGCCTACTATATTAACTTGAACTTACTATAAAAAGTTGATTAACTTGAAGGGAATTAGAAAATATGAGTGGTATGTTCCACGTATATACATTTTAAAACTCTCCAACACCTTTCAAATTAAATTCTCGCACTTTTATCATTATATAATATGGTTTTTGTTACCTCAGTGGAGGAAGGACTGCAAACATTTCTTCTTATCTGTTTGTTCAATCACAAGGTCGCTTTAATAATAAACACGTCTATTTTAAGTATATTTCCAAGTAAATTTCCTTTGCCATTGGAAGTTAAAACCTAGGTAATATCTTACATAATCATTTACTATGCAACAATATTGTATGGCGTCGATATAATGTTCTTTTATTATGGTTATTTTAATTTTAACATTGGTTTTTAGTTTTCAGATTTCTAATCATGTAATTATGTATTCAACAACTTACAGTTTTAGATTGGGAAGTCTCAAAGTTACGATAACTCCATCAGGCCAACCAAATATATATGTAAATATATAATACCTTTGCTAAATATAATTACAACACATGTTTTATTTTTTTACAGAATCCGTACAGGAATCACTCGAGCGGCGGTTTGGACGCGTCGGAGGCCGCATCCCCGTTACACCCTCAGAGTCTTTCCAAAAGAGGATCTCTGGTGCCTCTGAGAAGGACATAGTGCACTCTGGCCTGGATTACACCATGGAGAGATCTGCTAGAGTACGTATAGACAACAACCCATGTGGTATACCTACAAATAACATTCTGATTCATCTTATTAATAACACATTTTTAAAACAGTTCCATAATCACTATGTCGTAACGTATTCGACTACACGACTATCATAATATGCTAATAGCCAAAAATTAAAAAAGTTTTTTTTTTGAGGAATTTCATTTTGTAGTTATAAAACAAAATAATAAATAATTTGATATATATTATATAATTAAACACTCATATACTTACATTCATATAAAGGGTACAGTTCTATAGAGGACAACGTAACGTATTCTGTATCAAACATGACTAGAATGGTTTTATGTCCGTAGTGCACCAGGTAGAAAACGAACCCGCAACCATTCATCGAATTGCAATGGCTTAGTTATCCTTTCGACTGAATGTGTGAATGGTTTTACTTCAGTAGTGTACCTACTAGGGAGTATTCAAACCAGCTCTAGTTGTCTCGTGCGATGATACACCCTGCTTTGAAATGTTATATTAAAGCATTGCATTTTTTCGGTCTTTTAATATTGAAGGAATATACACAATTATTATTACATGTTTTTATGCATTTACAAAAGTTGTAATATACGAAAATACTAACTCAATTAAACATTTGCTTTGCGCAGGCCATCATGAAGACTGCCATGAAGTTCAACCTCGGCTTGGACCTAAGAACAGCAGCGTACGCAAACTCCATCGAGAAGATCTTCACAACCTACGCTGACGCCGGTCTCGCATTCTAATTACTCACTAGATACAATAAAGTATTGTCTGCATTTTACCGACTCCATGTTAGTCTCTATGCACTTAAGTGTAACTAGTAAGAAATTATATTCACAGTATTTTTGTTTGTTGGAATCATGGCTTTTTTACTTCAAGTAAAGCATTCTTATACATTTTAAGTGAGAATTGAATTTTCCAATAATGTATTTGACTTGAATTTCGATTAAAGTTGTTTTACTGTTCTTAACCTGCATTTTATTCTTTCTTTAATCCAGTGGCAGATAATCCCTAAGGCAAAGTAGGCACTTACATAAAACAAGAAGTGCCTACTTTGCCTTAGTGATAATCTCTGCTTTGGACCCTTTTCGCTTTGGGCCCCGAAGTTACAAAGGGGCGCGCTCGCAGAACTTTTTAACAAAGAATGAATACACCCCTAACATAGAAAGAACTGTGTCAGTAAGTATGTATACACATACTTACACAATAATTGTTTGTAATTAAAGAATTAATTAATATTTTAGTCTAGAGAGATGTTTGAGGTTGACATCTAGGATTGAGGCTAGTGCGTGTAGTTGTAGTTGAGACTACTTTATGAGTTGTAAAAATAGACCAAGGTTGTCCAGTCCTCGACTCCATTGTTCGTCCATGTACTGGCTTTGGCGTCGTGGAGACGCTCCAGCCTGTCGTCGTCGAGTGTGCAGGATCCTTTCTAGGCACGTCTACTTAAGGAAGTACCAGGTGTCACTTAAACTTGCTTGGCCACCATCATGGATTTTAATGTTGATAATACACAAATTTAGTCGACATTTGTAGCCAAATATCAGTATTTGTCGGTCAGTGGTTCAAAAGTTATAAGCGTTTAAAGGTGGCCCTGCTGAGGTCAGTCTCCCCAGCTTGGACCCGCCTATATCTCAAAAACTAGTGCACCTAGAGAAGGACCGTTTTCTTCCAAATTTAGTCGCCAACTTGTCGAAATCAGTCGCCAAATATCAGATTTACTTGGGTCTTAGTTAAGGAGATATAATGAGCTTAATGTTTGAGGTAGGTCAAAGAAGATACCAGAGTTTACGAAAAATTATATTATTTTGTGGGTACTTCTAGTTTTTAAGTCCTTAGAAATGTCAGAGAGAGATAAACACTTAATAAAATACATGTGTTTATGTTTTAAATTACTAGGTTAGAGTTGGTATATTAGTTTATTTGTTACATACATACTAATTACATACATATTAATTATAATGTTATTAAATAATAAAATTTCCGTTGCCAAAATAAAAATTTAGGTCTGTACATTTACGTTAAAATTATCGTCCCTTTAGTAAAATGTTTTAAATACCGAAACGTAGGCATTGCAAGTATATAAGTATCATGCTATTGCATAAAATATACTACAATACGTAACAAAACAACAGCATTTAATGGGACTAATCCCACCCACACGCCCACCACTGTAACTCCTGTACACCAGGATCCACAGCATTGACCGACGAACACACCGAGTTATGACACTCGGGAAGTCCCAGGAAGAAATTAAACTGTCTTGGAACCCGCAACCAAATTAATCTGAAGATAATTGGAGGAGTTGGAAATACAGTAAATCCACTTCCCTCCTTAGCAAAGCGGGAGACAAAATGAAGTAAAATAGGCATACACCCTTTTAAACAGGGAAGCACCACGGCCACAAAATATTACGGGTCGAGCAGATGGAAAGAATTGGTAAAGATGGCGCCCCTTGGATGATTCGTCCCAGCGTTGTTGCCCTTCGTCTATGAGGTCATTATAGACATCGGACTGCTGTTGAAGCAATCTTGTAATTTTACCGCGATCCCGCGCTCCCAAAAAATCGAGATCGACCGGAAGCACACCCGCCAACACCGGCAAAGCCTCAGTGCTAACCGTCCTATATGCCTTGCACAAGAAAATCAGTGCAAGTCGTTGGCCTTGTAACAGTTTGCGACGGACAGCGCCTACGGTCGCCCTATCGGCCATATAGGTGCACCATAGCACATAGAACCTAAATAAGTAGCTCCGTATATGATCTTTAATGTATTAAATGATAGACCCCATGTTGCAGTTGATATCCTTGTCAATGCACAGAAACTCTTTTTAGACTTTTCATTAACTATTTTAATATGTTCGATAAATGAAAAGTTTCTTTCTAAAACTAATCCTAAATAACACACTGAGGTTTTATTTTTTACAGTGACATTGTCAAATCTAATGCTCGGCGGTGATTTGAGGTCACTTTTCAGTATATTACAATGTACTCTGTGTTTGAGGTTACCTTTTAAAAGTAGCTGGAAGGTTTTGTTGGGTGCAAAAGTTAAGCGATTACGTTCACGATTGAGATATCAGGTTCAAACATCTATTGCCTAATCTCTCAAGCCCCGCCCTAGTATCAGATTCCACCAGTAATAAGCCGTCATCAGCATACGCGTTCAGAGTACATCCGGATGATATTGGTATCGCAAGAAAATCGTCGAAGCCGATATTCCACAAGTATGGACCTAGCACCGATCCCTGAGGACATCCCATTGTAAGCGCCTTCGACACAGAATGATGACCAAGTCTTAGTTTAGTTGTATCTTGTGAAAAGTAAGTACGAAGCGATAAGGGAATAAATATTTTTAAAGCACCCCGGTGATTTTAATTTCAGCAACAGCATGGGCCACCATGCGTTGTCGAAGGCGTCAGATATATCTAAGAAAATAGCCAGCACGTATTGAAATTTTGACTCTGTGACAAACTTTCTAACCGATGTAACAGCGTCAGTTGTCCATTTTCCCAACGTAAATCCAAATTGTCTATTATGAAATTTGACTCCACCTGGCAGAAGCCGGGGCACTACAAGACGTTCTAAAAGCTTTCCTAATGATGGTAACAATGTGATTGGTCGGTAGGATTTAGGATCGTCGCCACTTTTTGGTATTATACGAATATTACCGCACTGCCATATACGAGGAAATATTCCTTCAGCAATGCAACGTTTAAAGACAGTGAAAATCGTGTTACCCGAAAGTTTACAAGCTTCTTTTATCATTTTGTTAGATATTTTACCGTCGCCAGAAGCCTTGTTTAGCGGCAAGGATCTAATGATACCGAGAAATTCGTTTGAAGATGGTAAATCAGACATTGGAGACAGTGGTGGTTCGATGGCCGTTTTCCGACCGATCGTCAGGTACGAGCGATTCTAAAAGATATTCTGCTGTTTCTTCTACTCTTGTGGTATTACTGTTATTAATTTTGATGTTATGTATATGTATGCAAGGTCGATTGATCTATTTGCCTTAAATTCGTGATACTAAGGTGACCACGGGCCCTCTCTATCGAGTTTATCAACAAGTTTCTGAATTATGTTTCCCTTGGATTTTTCCACAGCAGCTCTGTAGTGGGACTTGGCAACTCTAAGAGCAATGAGAGCATTATTGTACAAATCTCCTGTTACGTTATGTTTTTTAATAGTGTTTAATTTTCTACGAGCTTTCCGGTAGCTTCTACGTAGTTCGGCTAATCTATCGTTCCACCTATCACATCTACGAGTGTTAGTGATAAATCTGCAACCGCGCGGTATGTGAAAGTTTCTGATAGTATTTCTGCGCTTTCCTCAGCTGATAAACCACTGCGACTGAAGTCTTTGGTATGAGTTGCAAAGAGTGAACCAAACAAAGCCCAGTTCGCACGTTTAGTTTTATATCTAAAATTATAGGGAGCCCTTTGTGAATCCTGTGCAACCCTTGGTATGAATTCGTACATGATCAAGCGGTGATCACTACAGGATGCGTCCGAGAGGACACGCCATCGGGATATCGAGACGTCGCCGCGCGTAAGCGTCACGTCAATAGAAGACTCACCCATTGGGTTGCAAAAAGTTGGTGGTACATCGGGGGTATTGTGAATAGTAAGATTAATTTCAATGATTCAAATAATTTCCGCAATGAAATCTTCAACCGCACAACGTCGAACCGTGTCGGTTGAACGCAACTTGCCATACCATAATGAAGATGACGCATTGGCATCAGCGCCAATGATAATTTTATGTCCCACGAGGAACTGCAAGACGTAACGTAAGTGATGTAAGTGAGGATCAATAAGATGTGAATATTGAAAATAGCAGCTCACTACTTAAACCTTACATGTAGAGGATGAGATCTCAGCAACGGCGCAGTGTGACGTCATAAGATTACGCAAAGATGTTACGGTAAAATTAGAACTTGCAACATATATCCCAGCCTGCGAACGGCAGTCAAGCTGTACTACATTACGACGCAAGCGAGCGCTCTGATATTGTGCTTGTATAAGGACAATGTCTAACTTTTGTTCTAAATTAAACGGTCTAATTCTGATGTAGCTATTTTATCGTTATGAAGATTTAACTGGTCTATCGAAATATTATCCATTACTTAGTAAGTTACTCTATAAACTTTTTTTTTTCTTTTTAAGCTAAATTAAACTATTCAGTAATTGGTATTTAATATTAGCTGTTCCAGTTTTAATTTGTATGTGGCACAGTCGTGTGAGCCGCATCGATGGTCAGATGGTTTTTTGAACCGCTTGCACTGTGCGCACGTGGGCTTAAAATCTGGTGTGTCTTTATCTGGACAAGGTCGCGTTTCGTGTGTGGCAGCGCAATTAGCACAAGTATGGGTTTTAATGGTGCAAAACTTTTGTACACGACCGAATTGCTGACAATTTAAGCAACGAACTACTTCTATATCGTCTATGAATCTACAAAACAACAATAACCTACCCTTACTTAATTTAGAAAAAAACAGATCTTCGCTAGGTGCCCAAGTTTTTGTAACATAAACAAAGCTGTGGAGATTAGCCCCAGCTGGGGAGGATGTTATAACGTAGAGAAAATGACTGTCATCGTTCTCTTAAAGTGAAGTAATGGAAAATCGGTGAAAAAAAATACTCTACATTTATGTAGCTATTATATACTCCTGCTGGTTAAAAATCAGTGTTTAAAGACGTCCTCGAGCTTTCTGAGCTTTGAGAGTCAAAACAACCTCTATTCTCGTTCGACATAAAGCTTCTCAATGGAAAGTAAAATGCACGTTCTTGTTTCTAAAATGAATAAATTAAATCGATTGTTATTATTAAATAGTGTTCTTTCGTGTTTGCCTACTCTGGGTGGGCATTGCAATATGTATGTACGTTACTTTTTATAATGTATCTCGCTTTTAACCTAAAGTGCGGAGTAGGTCTGGTTTGCCGCTAGAGAAAAGACAGTCATGGGTTTTTTGTTTCAGTCAACATGTAGCATTTTTAAGTGGTTATTTTTTATTGGTAAGGTTTTTGGCCGGCCGGTTTTGATGCTCTCTTTGAAATGTTAAAGTAAGGTCGGTGAGCATAACGTGAGTATTTATTCGTAAAATTAATGCAATCTATTTGCGAACGCAGCCAATTACGTGGTGAAATGTCACTTGTCAATCGATGCGTATTGGGAATTTTACAAGATACCAAGCAGTATTTTTGTACCTACGCTATACGGAAAATTATTAATGATAAAATGTATATTACTCCATTAGTTACTACTATATTGTTTACACTAATTCATGGAATATTCTCAAAAAGCGTCGAACTTACCTTTGAATTACCTGATAGTGCAGTAGAATGTTTTTTCCAAGACATAGAAAAGAATACCTCAGCGGCACTTGAATACCAGGTAAACTAAGATTGTTTTATTCGTAGGCAATGTATTTGTAGAAACATCTAAGATGTCTAGTTCTTATAGATATAAAATCCAATTCTAACCTCTATAATGTACACTCTTATTACAATTATATCTGTATTTCAGGTTATTACAGGCGGTCAATATGACGTCGATGTGAAAATAGAAGGTCCCAATAAGCAAATAATCTATCAACAACAAAAAATGCAGTATGACTCCCATCAGTTTACTGCACAACAAACAGGTATGTACTTACTGCACCAATCTGCCTACATCACACATACCTAGCAAACTTATACTTCGTGCAAAATTAACATCTTTGTTATGCAAATATCTCGCAATATGTTTGCACATTGACACACATGAGAATAAAATTAGTTTACAAAGCAAATAACAAACTTCAGTTCTTTCCTTATATTTCCATCTCCTCATTGATGGTGAACAAATTGTGTTATCAAATAACTACTAACTATTATATTTCAGGTATATACAAAGTGTGCTTCAGCAATGAATTTAGTACATTTTCACATAAGTTGGTATATATGGAATTAAATGTGGGCCCTGAGAAACCATTGCCAGGTGTCGGAGAGCATGCAACTGTTCTTACACAGGTTGGATATGTTTTGTTTTAATTATTCTTCCTAATCTCAACTTTAAGGTATAGAGTGAAGTGATTTGGGATTCTTTGGTAATCTACATAATCCATTATGATTCCAGTGAGATTTCTTACTAAATCTTATTTGTATAGTTATAAACTGGACCTAATTTTTGAAAGCATCATTTTTCTGGATGTTAGTGTTGCTTAAAATTTATTTAAAATAAATTAAAGTATAATTGAATAGTGAGAGCCAGATGTTCAAAAGGAGTCCTTAACTATGTAATAAAAACTTAATATCCTTTTACAGGCACTATTATTTTAAGAAAAGTCACTGGAATTATTATAAATTGGAATCACAGATTGAAATAGTTTAGATTTAGATGATTACAAAACTTTTGTTTTAAAAGTATATATATTGTGTATATTTTATATCATTACATAAAAGTTAGGTAATGATATAAAATGTATTATAATGTAGCATAAATAACATAACTAGATATTTTTAGCCTTATATGTATATTTATTTAGATAGAGAAATACCACTGTGCCATTGTTTAGGAAATTATTATTGTAAGAAGTGGATGATTCATGGTGAAGTCAGTGAAATTTCAATGACAAACTTAATCAATAACAAAACAAATACTATGTGGGGTTTGCTAAAACTTAAATACTGTTATAACTGTAAAAGAATAAAAATAATCAATATAGTGTCTTATTTCATACCCTATTCTACTTTCAGCTGGAAACTTCTGCAGAAGAAATTCACTCAGCCCTTAATAGAATTATTGATCATCAAACACACCACAGGCTAAGGGAAGCTCAAGGTCGCAAGAGAGCAGAAGATCTAAACGAGAGAGTATTCTGGTGGTCAATGGGAGAGACACTAGCAATAGTATGTGTTACATTTGCCCAAGTTATGGTTCTAAAGAATTTCTTCAGTGACCGACCTACTGTATACAATCGAATGTAATACTTAGTATATTAAATGTTTTATTTATTAAAAACATCTCTGGGATTTATTTTACAGATTTTTTTATTTAATGTTACACTAATAATATTGTAATAATTTACGTCTATTAAATTAGGGCAGAAATTGTTTGTAACAAACAAATAGAGAAGTACCTCAAGTGGTGGGTTTATAGGTATTATACATATAAACGGGCTTCTTTCACACGGCTTTTTTTTTCCCCATAAATACTATTAGTAGTATCTACATTGCCCCCGTGTGATGCTGGGGCGGCTCGCTAGTCTTCTATATATACTAGTAAAACTGCTCATGTCACTTCTCTGTCTTGTCCCTAAATTGTCTGTCCCAGCCTATAGTTTAAAAAAAGTGTATGATTTAAAGTTTTCTGTATGTATAAATGCTTAATGATATTATCCCTTTAAGCTTTTTTTTCCACATAGATTCTGAAAACACAATGTTTATAGATAAAAGAAAACAAGTGTAGCCATATCAATTATGTAATAATAAAAACAAACAGAATCTCAGTTCAAAGATAACATAATCAATAAGACCAATAAGCATTTAATATAGAAATTCTCAGATTTTATCAATAGTCAGCTCAAAACAATGTGTGTATTGCTTTCACTGCAAAAGTTGTTAATTTTTATTCATATTCAATAAAATATTATATGACATTTATATCCTTAATACATTTACAGCTTCCTGTAGTCAACTATATGTAAAAGCTTGCATATTCCTGTTTTATAATATATTTATGTACAATGCTAGAAGTACAAAATTTATTAATAATAAAGTACCTTGTTTTCACAAAATACAATAAAATATTTCTATTAAAAGAGCACTAATAAGGCAAAAACGCCATTGACTAAAGCACAAGGATAGGCAATAAGCGGTCTTTGCTCAGCATCTCCTGACATAGTAACAAAAAGTCTGCTAGCAGAAAGTGCTGACCATATTACTGCAATAGCTGACAAACTTAAACCAATTGATCCATCTAGAGAAATAAAAATACCTAATCCTGCTAGTGCAACCATGGGTAACATGCAATATCCTAATACACTGGCTACACTCAATATGGTAAAAACTCCTTCAGTACGGCTCATTAGAGCTAGTAAGCAATACATTAAAATGACTGACATTACAGATAAGCCATAAACATAGCCAAAATGTGCTTTATTGCCTGACAGGAATAGGCATACTGCAAGAGCTAAACAAAATGCTATTGGCCCAGCAATGTCAGTATCTCTCAAGAGGAAGTTGGCATCGTCTGCTTTGGATTGTCCGTGGAATGGATTTAACACTGCCAATGTTTTCTCTAATATTCTATCAGGGTAGATTTCAAGTTCGTCTAACAATGGTGGTTCATCAAAATCTGTTGTTTCTACAGCAGGTTCTCCAGGCACAGGAGCGGGTGTAAATAGTGTTGGGTTATAGTACTGGTTGTTGTTTGCAGTCATCTGACCCTGCCCCTGATCGAATGAATAGTTTTGTTGGTCTGTTGGAAAAGACTGAAAATCTGAAATCAAATGTAAATCAAAGATAATTTTATTTACATGCAGCACCGGCCATAAGTTAGAGTAAATGGAGTTTGCTCTATATGTGGAATGCATGAACAAATGTGGAAAAAAAATTTGCCTCAGCAGAAAAATAATAATAAGAGTATGTCTTAAAAATTCAAATATAATTGGACTAAATTTTGATTTATAAGAAAATGTGTATAAAGCTTTAATATTCCTACACTTATATCACGGACTAGGTCTGGTGCTGCTTACCTACAAGTTAGTTCTTGTACCACACCATATTTCTATAGATACCAGATTTTAAAAAATTCAGGTAGATATTAGTATCATACTAGTTTCAGAAGGGATTACAGATATTAAATTATTCAATAGTTAAATTATTCAATAGATATTACATTTTTCTGTAGTGTTTTTGGGAAATTTTAATAGATGAATTCAGATATGTAGGTAATAATTTAGATTTATATATAAGTCATTCTATCTGATTTTTTTATGGCTATTAGCCTGAAAGGCTGTGGTAAGAACAGGTAGGTTTAATAAAAAAAAAAACTTATAAGTGCTTACTGCAACTGTTTACCTAGGATAAGAGCATAATTGCTTTCACAAACAGAATAACTTAAATGATTTAAGTTCCTTTTATATGACCGTTTGTTTCTTATCAAAATAAATATAATAAGATACTCTAATTGATATTATGAGTGCAGAATATACAAAAAAAAGAAACTAAAGACATTACCCGTTATTATGTTTCTTTATTGGTAATGGAATCCTAAATTATCCTATTTCTTTCTCTATTAATTAATATCAACTTATTTTTACAGGATAAAAATAAACTTTGCAACATTTTTGCTAACGAGTTTGTCTTTCCTTCGTTTATTTTTAGTTGGTCAAGATGTTTTATTACTTTATTTTAGTCTCATTATCATGTGCATTAATTAATACTGTATGGAGTTTTGCTACACACATACTTCCGTTATTTGGCTACCTTTATTGTCATATTATTTACATATGATTTCACAGCTACCACATTCGAGCTTTGCGAAATTATTTCACTTTAAATGAAAACAAAATTGTTTAGAACAGAAAATTGGTTCGTAGTAAGTACTCACCCAACGTCTGTGCTTGATCAACGAACGTATTAGAAGTATTAAACGAGTAATTCTGATTACTATTTTGCGTCTGCCAATTAAAATCATTTGGGTTGTTAAAATTAGCCATGTTGTTGCTCCTTGATTTGGTTTTTCACAGTAAACAAAGTTAAGTATTAAAAACTAATCAGACTACACAAGTTTCATTACGAGATAAACTCCATGTCATTACCTGTCACTGTCAGCAGTGACAGCTGTCTAATCTAACAGAATATTTTGTTTAATAATTGTAATCATCATCCGTCTATTAAATTATGTTTTAAATTAAAAACTTCGTGTGCTTTTCTTAACATAAAAAGTAATATCAAAATTTCAAAACAAACCTATAGAGGAAAACTAACAAAATAAAATGTCTTTCGATTTGCTTAATTTTTTTATAGTTATCATAGACATCAGGGTTGTTGCTGTAGTTATATAACATTACTAGCAAATGCGAAATCATATTTTAAATAAAACACAAGTTATCCATACTTATATTAAAAATGTTCATTCATTGAAAAATCGAATTTTCCTAACGTATCGATACATTTAAAAAAATTACCATTGTTACAGTCGTATAATTTTTGGCTTTAGCATAGAAAAGCCATATTTTGTGTACTTAGAAATTGGACCACATATACTATTCTTTTGATTACATCGTACCAGCGCTGCTTTTCAACCTCTAAAAAGTCTTTGTTGAATACTATCAATAGTGTGTTTATTTTTATGAGCGTGACATAAATCTGACCATTTTTTTATAATTTTTGAAATTTTCTCATGTCTGCTGCAATACAAAGCTAGATGTTGTCAATCACTAAATCCATGGCAGATTTTTTTTATGTTTTGATTCAAATAGCTTGCAACAAAAGCAATAAATGCCATTTTTGGATACTGAATACAGCAGCCACTGTCTGTGATACTTTTCACCGTTTCCCAAATGCTTTCATTCCAACTCGGAAAATTTTCGCCCCGATGATTTACGCGGAAAATTATACCGTTTAATCTGTTTTGTTTAATCGGATCGTCTATTAAATACTTGTTCAAAGTAGCATTTAAAACTTATGGCGAGAGTCTAGGTCATCTTTGGAAAAAATTGGTGTTGTTGGTGTGACGATAATTATCTTGGCGGTGACAATGGTGTATCAGGCAGAGGCACGGACGTAAACAAACAAAGATATAATATTGCTCGTATGAGTATCTATCTACCTGTCTGAAATAACTGATTTACCTATAATTTTTTTTTTTTTTTTGAATTCTGTAACTTGGCAATCTGTGTTAACACAATAAGCCATTCAGATGAGGTATCTTGATCTACGTATTTTAGCAGAAGGTATTCATAAGAGTACGTTTCATCTGGTGTCACCAAATCTCACGGTTAGTGTAGGGACACTATGCCGTTTCAATCGGGAATATACAATACTCCCTTTGCCTTCTAGTTTGGATGCTAATTCGTTGACGTGAGTGGATATTCTCGTCTGATAGCTTTCACTATATCTAGCGATCTCTTGTTTGACGGTAGTGATCTTTAGGTCCTCGTGTGTATATTTGTTGCTCACATAGTAGGGTATATCCAGCATGGCTCTCAAAGTCTTGCTTTGAAATCTTTCAAGAATCTCTATGTTGCTATTGCTAGCAGTACCCCACAGCTGGATCCACTAAGTCCAGATTGGTTTGAGGATGGTCTTGTAAATAGCTATCTTGCTTTCATGTGAGAGGCTTGATTTGCGTCCTATCAGCCAGTACATGGATCTGACTTTCGTATCCAGCTGTTTACGCTTGGTCCAGATATGCTTTCTCCAGGTGAGTCTTCGATCCAGATGCATACCCAAATATCTGGCATCTTCAGCTTGAGGAATTTCTTCATTATAAAGCCTTATTGGGGGACAAGTCTGCCTTCTCAAGGTGAAGGTCACATGGACAGATTTTCCTTGATTAACCCTAATACGCCATTTATCTAGCCACTTTTCCACTTCATGGATGTGGGTTTGTATGTTGGCCAATGCTATAGCGGGATCCACGTGTACCGACAAAAGGGCTGTATCATCCGCATACGTGACAGTCACAGTATCAACGTTCGTTGGAAGGTCTGCGGTAAAAAGCAAATACAGGATGGGTCCCAATATACTTCCCTGTGGTACTCCTGAGAGAATTTCACCTCAAAGCATCTACTGTGTAGGTACGATCGTAGAATCGGAAAGGAGTGAGGGAGCAGCTTTTTAATTTTGAAGAGAAGTCCTTCATGCCACACTCTGTCGAACGCCTGACTAATATCAAGAAAGACCGCAGAGCAGAACTGTTTGCATTATAGTGCACGACTTATTGTATCCGTAATACGGTGGATCTGTTCGATAGTTCCATGTTGCTCTCGGAAGCCAAACTGGTGAGGAGGAATATATTCTGGTAAATAGGGGCGCATCCTGTTCAGTAGTATTTTTTCGAAGAGTTTACCCAAAACAGGGAGTAGGCTTATTGGTCTGTAGGAGCTTACATCATGGGGCGGTTTTCCTGGTTTGGGTATCATTATAACCTGCGCAATTTTCCACTGGGCGGGGTAAATTGCTAGTCTTAGGCAAGGATTATAGATGGCTGCAATGTGAATTATGCCCTTTCCAGGCAGCTGCTTGAGTAGTTGTGCGTCGATTAAATCGTAGCCAGGTGTTTTACCCTTCTGTAGTTGTAGGATTTCTTTCCGTAGTTCGTTGGGGCTAGCACTTTTTAGTGGTAGACTCATTTGCAAAGGTGCGTCCAGATATTCGGTGACTTCCTTGATGTGTTCAGGATCTTTGCTTGGTAAGGGTCTGAAGATAGTTTTTAGGTATTCCGCGTATACTTGGGCCTTTGCAAGTTCTGTTTTTGCCCACTTGCCATCAGGAGCTTTTATGGGTGGTATGTGTTCCTTCGGTCGTTTCAGCCTTTTTGTTATCTTCCATAGAGAGTAGTTGGTGTCTATAGAAGGAGTAAGGTCAGCTAATTGTTTTTGTAAACTCTCGTTTCTGCTTGACAGATCATGTGCTTAAGTTCCTCAGAAGCCCTGTTGAAAGCTTTTTGTCACAGGGATATTTCGTAGAGTGCCATGTTTTCCGCAGCAGCCTTCTTTCATTTACTTTGTCCTTTATTAGTTTGGGGTAGTGAGCAATTTGTGTTGTTTTCGGTCTTAGATAAGACGTAGATTCTTTCGCCGCTAAGTGAATAAGCTTACTGAGAGTTTCGATAGCTGTTTCAACGCTATCTACATTATTAAGTGGCAAGTTCAAGTTAATGGATTCTGAGATTTTAGTTCTGTATCTGTCCCAGTCTGTTGTCTGGTTATACAGTCTTTGTTGATACTCAACTATAATAGCCTTACAGTGAACGTTGACAATTACTGGTGTATGGTCTGACGACAGGTCAGTACATTCTTCTACGTTCATTTGTCTGAGCGGGATATTTTTGGTTATGAAAAAGTCCAATAGGTCTGGTACCTTTTGTGGGTCCGCAGGCCAGTATGTAGGAACACCATGCGAAGCGCAATGAAGGTTGTAGTCGATCGTAGCCACATAGAGTTGTCGTCCCCGTGGCGAGGTTAGTCTCGAGCCCCAGAAAGCGTGTTTTGCGTTCCAATCGCCACCGCAAATAAATCTGTGTCCTAGTGTGTTGAAGTAGGTCTTGAACTCATCTCTTGTAATGACATGCCTAGGTGGGCAGTAAATTGCAGACACTGTTGTTTCTGTTTTATTATCCTGAATCCTGACCGAAGTTGCTTGTATCTTTTCGGTTTTGGTTTCCCCAGAAGGATAATGTTTGATGTTTTCTTTTATTATGATTGCGGTTCCTCCATGTGAATTACCAGAAGAGTGGTTTGTAGTATACACCATGTAATTTTTAAGTTGGAAATGAGTTTTTGGTGTGAACCTTGTTTCTGAGATTAAAGCCACGTCCACTCTTTCAAGTTTCAAGAAGAGTTCAAGTTCCTGGCGACGTTCTGTCAGCCCGTTGGCATTCCAGGTGATTATTGTAAGGTTTAGGGGTGCTTTATAAGGCTTGTGAATAATTGGATCATACGATCCATCATGTTGTCTAACATAATATTTATTATGTTTTGAAATTTGTTGAACATTGCGTCTAGAACTTCCCCGAAATTATTTGGGTTCTTGATATCGGTTTGTGTCAGGTTTTTGCGGTATTGATTTTGCGTTATGTTGTTTGTGTTCCCATTACTTTCTTTGCCCTTTCCTGTCTTGTTTTTCGAAAGTAAGTCTTTGTATTGTTTGTACTTTATGCAGCCTTTGTAACTTGCTGGATGTTTTTCTTGGCAGTTGGCACAAGTTGCCTCGGTGTCCGGTCTTTTTAAACAGCTTGTTGTTGAGTCCCCGCATTTTACACATCTGAATGGTCTGTTGCACTGGTTTTTTGCATGTCCAAATCTTTGACATTGCAAAATGTCTAGCTTTTTGTATGGTGCTTCAAATGAGACTTTTACGTAATTCACTCTGTTGATTTTAAAAATTTCTTTGTTGTTGTGTTTAGGCTCAAGATCTACATAGAATAAGGGTAGCGGTTTTCATAGGCACCTGATCGTTTTGCCAGGGTTGATTTTTTTTAGCTTGTGCATCATTCGTATCAGGTGTATTCGATTCCTCTTGCACCTTATCATTTGGAATTGTTTGTTTTGGTGTTTCTATTGGTAGAGTTCGAAGTGAGGGGCTCCTTACACGTGCAAACATGCCTTTTTGGAGTACTTGTTGTGTCATCTTTGGCTTGTTTTGGTTTTCTTTTTCATTATTCATGCTCATTTTGTTCCCACGAGTAGGGTCGATATAAAAGGTCACTTGCAGGGTGACGCCCATTCCTCCAAGAAGGCGATCTTCAACGACGTTTGCCATGCCCGCCGAGGTCGGCACTCGATACTGATCTCCCAATAGTCATGCATTCCATTGGCACGTGTCCCACCGTGGAATTGGGGTGATTGTTTTATAGAGGTTTTCTTCCTCTCAGCCCGGGCAATTAAGCCAAGACTGAGTAGCGGTTCTCAGCGATAGCCGGGGGATCGCTGAGTAGCGGTTGCGGGCGTGAGTATTCATTTCCTAATATCCACTGTTGTCTGACTGGTTA